GTTAGCCCGCCTATCTGACGTCCTTCCTGGCCAGCCAGCTGCAGTTTAGGTCACCCTTCCTGTGGTTGACGTGGCGGTACAGACCAGCGCTATCAGTGGAGCCCGGCGGGTATCCTGCCGATGTCTCATGTTTTTCACCATATAAGGCGTCTTTTGAAGTAGAGAGAGGGAGAGGGAGAGAGAGAGAGAGAGAGAGAGAGAGAGAGAGAGAGAGAGAGAGAGAGAGAGAGAGAGAGAGAGAGAGAGAGAGAGAGAGAGAGAGAGAGAGAGAGAGAGAGAGAGAGAGAGAGAGAGAGAAACGGATTGAGTAGTCCGAATTTCTAACCCTCGCATTTATGGGGGGCGAGTGGAACGGATCCTCGCGGTTTTTCGCTAATGACTCGCGCAAAGAGCAGCCCGATCGCAACGAAGCTATCAGTATCTACTCCCGTCTTGATTGAGTTAACACCCACCCTGTAAATTTCATGACCCTGACCTAAATGGCATTTCTTAAACAGCGCATCGTATAGGGCCATCGAAGGAATAAGGATCCTGCATCCGTAGGTAGGGGTCGTTTCGTCCCCCTCCCCCTTCCCATCCCACACCACCCTAAGATCTCGGAAAGTTACCGACCGATTTCCAAAATTCAAACGGCGTTCGTAGCCTCTGGCCCGCTCGTGTGTGCTGATGGAACTTTGTGACCCCGCCCGGCGGGCCTGACGCTCGTCTCGCAGAGCTGCGAACCCCGGCCGGAGCTGGAGACGCTGGAGGACGCCGTCTCTCTCTGGGAACGGGGAGGATGTCGGTCTGACGCCGGCGTCGCTGTCCCCGACCCAGGAGCTGAAGGACGAGTGCCAGAACCTGCTGGCCATGAAATTGATCTGGTCTGATCGACGCTGGTGGTTGTACTAATTCTTTGTACTGTTTTTTTTTTACGATTGCTTTGTTGCACCCCCTTTTGGACGCTTAGGTCATTTTTGCATGTGTTATTATGCTTATGTAGGACGTAGGTATGTTTTAACCCTCGCCGGCCGAAGGGGGGGGGGTGCCGCCCCCCATAGGTTTTTTTTTGCAATAGCTCCGAACACGCTGGCGATGGAGAGCTGAAACTTGGCATACCATGACCTTTGCTTCAAGCCAGCTCTTCTGACACCAACCGCATTTTCGGGTCAGGTAAGGTCACTGACCTATGACGTCATAAGTGAACCTCTGCACGGACTTCAGATGTCGCAACTTCGCATCTCCCTCACTGCCAGAGGAGCTTTCACAGGGAAATGAAACTTGCATGACCTAGTATCCATTAGGATTCTCACAAATTGGGTATCTCAGATTCTCCCTAAAGGTCATACCTATGAGGTGAGGTCATTTTCGCGACCTCACCATTAGGTACCTATAAGTCAACGGGGAAAAATGAAGACTGCTATTCTGGCGCCGGGAGCGATCTCAAACTATCTCAACCCCACGGAATCGTGAGTTCATGCAATCCTTGCAAGTTTTGATGCTTCACTTTTGTATTAACATGATCTCCTTCGACAAAGCTCTTGACCTGGGGGTTTTGACCTGACCATGTCCCGAGGTCAATACCTAAAATTGACCTCACCCAAACCAAAAGTATACTTTTCGACGCGGTTGAGCAAGGCGAACACGATGCTGTCAAAATCGCGGCTTTGCGATCACTTTTTGCGAAGTTATTCACCAAAAACGGAACCCGCACCCTGGGTCACTTGACGTGACCTCAGAGGTCACCGGTTGACCTGAGACCTTAAAATCGGGTACCAATCGCTGCATCACGTAACGGCGCACACGCTCGTTTTTTCCGCGACGCTATAGCTTTATTAGGGGGCGAAACGGCGAGAGGGGTCGTACCCGCCTAACCCCTCCCCTCCCCCCTCGGCCGGCGCGTATGTAAAAAACCAATAGGTCCGGGGAGGGTTAAAGTTGGTATTTATTTTAAATTTTCTGTTATTACTACAAACATTGATATTACTACAAACAAATGTTATTCCTGCAAATTGTTTTTTTTTAGATGAGAATAAGCTTACGAGTTACGATGCAGCATAGAACCAGCTTAACCCTCGCCCGTTTTGGTGTTTTTTTCAGCCGCGAACGTATAAGAGGGGGTCCGTTGGACTCCCCCCTTGCCGTTGCGCCCCTGATCGAGCTAGAGCTTCGCAGAAAAAACGAGCGTGTTGCCCGTGACGAGAGAAAGCCGATGATACCCGATTTTAAGGTCCTAGGTCATTGGTTGACCTTTTAGAATAGGTCAGTGACCCAAAAGTCGGGAAAATCGGGACCTGTTAGAACGTCGTAAAGTGTGGCTGCTATGGAATTTGTCGGGATGTTGATCACGAATATCATGTTAGTTTTATCACAGATGATGTCTTCATGCATTTAGGCCAGGTCGGGTCAGGTCGGGTCAGGTCAACCAGTAGAGGTCCTGCCGGGTAATTGTATAAAAAGGTGTCAACCGCCTCTGACAGTTTCGTGTAACATGTTACGAAGGCACCAAAACTACTTCGTAAATGTTCATATGGTTGCTAAATTCGAATTCAGCTCCAAAAACTGTCCTAGAAATATGTAAAACTCGAAAAAGTGAACCGGGGTCATCAAAGGTCAGTGGCCTGAGCTGACCCTCAGGTGACCTTGACACCCACCCTAATGCATGGGACCAACATCATTTCACATGTTTGAACGCTTGAAACAGCGAAAAGACTACAAACGCGTGGCTAATGCGAGCCGACATACTACGAATCGCGATTCCGGCCAAACATGGTGTCGAAAAGTAGGTCACAGGTCAAAGGTCATTTGGGTCAGGGTTATGAAATTTTCAGGGTAGATGTAAAATTTATAAACTCGTGGGTAGGTACTGAAAGTGTCGTCGCGATCGGCCGCTTTTTACGCGAGATATTCGCGAACAATCGAGGGGAGTGGGTTCGTTCGATCTCCCCCCCCCCCCCCATATACGAGCGGGGGTTAAAGTGATCATCCCACCTTAACATTAGCTTAGAATTGAGATAGCTAAATTGGGGTATTTGGCTCGCACTTACCGGTTTGGAAACTCACCGCATTGAGGAAGGCTTTGGTTCGCAGATATTTAGTTTCAAAGTTGCAGCACTTTGGATTCAGTTCAGAGGGGATAATGCATTTGAATGCCCCCTCTGAATTTGTAACGTCAGCGCAGATCTAGCACTGGCGGTCGCAGCCGCTAGCAACTAGGGGGGGGGAGGGCAAAGTCGCACTCGCGAGTGCGACTCGACGCGCGGTACATCACATTTATTTATCACTAGGGGGAGGGGTGATCGGCTAGTTTTTTAACGTATAGCAAAATCTAGGAATATAAAATCTAAAATCAAATGGAAAATCTATTTCTATGCTCCCAATGCTCTGATTGCTGCCGTGTTAGATAGTCCAGCTGGCCAGGGGGGTCTGGCAGCGCAGCACCACTGGCGACTGCGTCAGCAGTATGAACTCAATGACTTGGATTTGTCCGCTATCTCGCCTTCTGAGCTTCATAATGTCTTTGGTGCCTGGATCGAAGAAATTGTGCGTGGAAGGGAGAATGCTGAAGCTCCAGATCGGTTTGTGTACCGGATATAGGGAAACACGCATTTTACACTCGCTTCCTGTGTTTTTGTGTTTGTTGAAGTGTTGTGGTACCTAATGAGTACCTTTTGTGTAACTGTATATGTACCGATTTCGGTACGAAATGAACCGTTATCATTAGGTATTATTATTATTCTTGTTCAAACGACCCTCGACCTGTGAACTCCAGAACCATGTCCATAATGGTGATTCAGCGTAAGTTATGCGCGCATTTAGGGGAAATGGCCAAAACCATAGAACATTTAGGGGTGGGGAGAGGAAGGGGTCGGCAGGTAGGTCTATAGCAGGATCCCACCGGATTCGGTGGTTGACTTTATCGGATTTATCGACGAAAATCTCCGATAACCTCCAACGGCCGTTGCATTTCAGAAAGTCAACAAACCATTTCTGAAACCATGCGTCGAACCTGACAAAGAATTATCCAGTGGTGGTGGTGCCTTGATCGACACGCTTGAGACAAAATGCGACGGTCAAATATCAATTTGGGCCAGGGCTCCGTCACGACCCGATGGTTGGGGGGGGACGACGGCCGTTTGAAGTCGATTCTTTCCATGCAGCAGGGGTGGAGCTTCCTATTCACTTGGTGGGGCGCCTGCCCCACCAACTTGCCATTTTGCCCCACCAATAAGCGTTTTGCCCCACCAACTTAAGCCGATTTGCAGGCAGCAGGACTTTACTGCTTAGCAAACCTATGTTTTTCGCATTGAGGAGCTTTGAAATGTCTGTGTAATGCAAAATATTATCTCTGTAATAAAAAGAATTGATTCATTGTTGAATTTTATCTAACTTAACAATCGGACATTGTAGGTTTGACAACTTTTTGCCCCACCAACTTTCCTGGAAAAGCTCCACCCATGCCATGCAGCACCCATAGGCATAATATTAACAATGTAAAATCCCCTTCCCCTCCCCCCCCCCCCCCCCCCCCCCCCCGGTGGCGGAGCCCATGATTTCGGCACCCAGCTGCCGGCTGCGTCACCTTGAGATGGGGCCACAACTACAAGTAGCAACTCTTCTCCCTAGATGGCTCTAGTAGTACAGCGCCTGAACTCACCCTGTGCCGCAAGACACCAGCCCCGGCGGAACAGCGCAGCGGCGGGCACTTCCTCAAAGACGCGAAGGAAGCACACCAAAGGCACCGCTAGTCACGCGGTGCTGGATACCTGCCACCGACGAATCCGTGACGGCAAGTTTTATTTCAACATGACAACATCAAACTCAACGTAAGCAAAGTCACAGCCCCAATTCTCTAACACATTCTAATTCTATTATTATCATTGTATTCCCTGCAGAGTGCACTCTCATCTTACCCTCTGCACTCTGTCGTACCCTCACTGTTCTGCCTTCTGTCCTCCATGAGCCCCCCCCCCTCCCGTCCCCGTCGGCAGGCCACTGCCCCGGCCGGAGGTATCACATTACTCGGGCCCGCCCACCGCGCCGTCCGTCGGTGGGTCTACACGAACACGCCGCTCTGTGCCGCCACCGTCCCAGTACGCGGCTAGACCGCGCGGCGGACGGTACGAGAGGCTCTCCTCCGCCGGGACCGCGGCGCAGCGCTGAACTACCTCCCGTCTCACCGGCGCTGGGCCAGCTCTCAGACCGTTTGCCGCCGCTCGGAGGAAGCGTTTGCCGCCGCTCGGAGGAAGCGTTTGCCGCCGCTCGGAGGAAGTGTTTGCCGCCGCTCGGAAGCAGCGTTTGCCGGCGCTCGGAAGCAGCGTTTGCCGGCTCGGAGGAAGCGTTTGCCGGCGCTCGGAGGAGTGTTTGCCGCCGCTCGGAAGCAGCGTTTGCCGCCGCTTGGAAGCAGCGTTTGCCGGCTCTCGGGTGCGGTGTTTCCGGTCCCTGACCCGCAGCGGCGATGCGTTCCCTGACGCTGCTGCTGGCGCTGGGCGCCGCCGGGCCGCTGTGCGCCGACCCCGCGGCGCACCGGCCGGCCGGAGCGGCGCCGTTCGCCGGCCTGCCGCCGCAGGACTCCGAGTGGCGAGAGGTGCGCTCCCTGGACGGTCTGTGGCAGTTCAAACTGTGCCCCACCGACGACCCGGAGCGCGGCTTCCGCGAGCAGTGGTTCGCCGCGATGCCGAGCGCCGAAGACCCGGAGGTGCTCGACATGCCAGTGCCGGCCAGCTACAACGACATCACGCAGCGGGCGGACGTGCGCGACCACCTCGGCTGGGCGTGGTACTGGAGGCAGGCGTGGGTGCCGCGCTCCTGGGCCGGCCGCCGCACAGTGCTGCGAGTCGGCAGTGCCCACTACTCCGCCGTGGTCTACGTAAACGGCGCACGGGCAGCCGAGCACAGCGGGGGTCACCTGCCGTTCGCGGCCGACGTCACCGACCTACTACTGGTCGGTCAGGCCAACCTCGTCTCCATCGCCGTCAACAACACTCTGACCGACATCACTGTGCCGCAGGGCCGCACCGTGCGCAAGGCCAACAGCTCCAGCTACGTCTACCCCGAGGGCTACGAGACGCTCGAGTACAACTTCGACTTCTTCAACTACGCTGGCCTGCACCGGCCCGTGCTGCTCTACACCACCGCTGACACCTTCGTCGAGGACGTTACCGTGACGACAACGCTGGCCGCTGACGGCTCGGCCGCCGTCACGTACGCCGTCACGGCGGCCACCGTGCTGGCTCAGGACGACGTCACGGTGAACGTCACGCTCACGTCTCCCGGCGGAGAGCCGGTGGGCGCGACCGGCGGCGCCCAGGGCGTGCTGACGGTGGCGCAGCCGGAGCTGTGGTGGCCCTACCTGATGGACGCCTCGCCCGGCCGGCAATACACGCTGATCGTCGAGCTGCTGGCCGCCTCCGGCGCGCGGGACATCTTCCGGCAGAGGTTCGGCATCAGGGAGATCACGTGGGATGCCGACTCGGTCTCCATCAACGGTCGTCCCGTGTACATCCGAGGATTCGGCAAACACGAGGACAGCGACATCCGCGGCAAGGGCCTGGACCTGCCGCTGCTCGTCAAGGACTTCAACCTGATCGAGTGGCTGGGCGCCAACTGCTTCCGCACGTCCCACTACCCGTACGCCGAGGAGATCATGGACGCGGCCGACGCGCGCGGCATTATGGTTATCGACGAGACACCGGCCGTGTCGCTAGACTACTCACAGACCGCCGGCGACGACCGGCTCCTGACGGCGCACACGGAGGCGCTCTCCGGCCTGATCGCGCGCGACAAGAACCGCCCGTCGGTGCTGATGTGGTCGCTGAGTAACGAGGCCAAGACGGGCCAGCCGGAGGCGGTGCCTTACTACCAGACGCTGGTGGCGCTGGCGCGCGCCCAGGACGGCACACGGCCCGTGACGGCCGTGCTCAACACCTACCCTGACACGGAACTGGTGGCGCCGCTGCTGGACGTGATCCTTGTGAACCGCTACTTCGGCTGGTACTCGGACACCGGACACTCCGAGCTGATCGACCTGCAGGCCCGGCACTTCCTCACCTTCTGGCGCGACACGTTCGGCAAGCCGGTGGTTCAGTCGGAGTATGGAGCTGACACGGTGGCCGGTCTCCACCAGCAGCCCACCTTCGTCTTCACGGAGGAGTACCAGACCCAGCTGATGGCCGCCAACTTCCGCGCCTTTGAGGCGGTGCGCGCGCAGGGCTGGTTTGTCGGGGAGATGATCTGGAACTTCGCCGACTTCATGACCAAGCAGGATACGACTCGGGTGGTGGGGAACCGGAAGGGGGTGCTGACCCGTCAGCGACAGCCCAAGATGTCGGCGCACCTACTGCGCTCGCGCTACTGGGCGCTGGCGCAGCGCACTGACATGCCGGAGCTGCTGCTGCCCGACGACCTCATGTTCTCCGGCGACTTCACCGGGGTGCAGAAGAAGCAGTGCCCCGCCCGGCCGGCCGCCGGCTGGCAAACGAGCGCCGTGAAGGGCAGGTGGGAGCACAAGACCAGCACCAAACCCTGACCGGGTCGTGACGGTCAGACGCTGCTTGTGATGTTTTAGTGCTGTTTGTGGTGTTTGTACAGTGTTTGTATGCCGTGTGTTTGATTGACTGATTGCCATAGTTACAATGGGACGGTTGTTAATTTTGTTATGTACTTCTTTGCCGACTCTCTTCGGCATTACGATTTGGTCAGAGCTGAGCCGCTTTCATCTTATGTGATTTGTTCGCTGTGTTTTAAAATATACACTACTGATAGCGGTCGACAGGGGAGTTCAGAGCGGGTCAATGACCTGTCAGCGGTCTGTGCCCTATCGGTCAGCGATGGGAGATCTGCGTGACCACCGCTAGATAGCGCCGACAGGGCGGCACTGTGACGGCTGAGGAGTTTTCAGCGATCGCCTGTATCTTATCGCCAACAAAACAAACAGCTCCATCGCCGGCTTCGAGAGCCGAGTCAGTCTGAAGAGGAAAAACTGTATCGTCCACATGATCTTAGTCTTTTCACTGGAGAACGGCTCAAACAATGGTAGCGCACGAACAAACGGTCATATTAAGATCATCTACCTCGAAAACACACCACAACTCCGTACAACAGTGCGCACTGTAGGACGGGCCAAAACGTACAGCACCCCTACACAAGTCACATTAAAAACCAGGAGATCTGTGGCCTGTATGGCACGTGCTGACAACGCACTGCCGCAGGCCACTCGAAACACACTTGGTTAGCAACAGTTGCAACATCTCTGGACGACCAAGTACGCAATGTGAACTTCATGAACATACGGCGTTCCGGCTACCAAACGAACTTAGAGGGACTCTAGCTCGACTTTAAGAAATGACATGCCGGCTTAGAACCGAAATGCCCCTTCCACACCAGCAGCAATGGGGCACATCGTACCACAAAACACTAAAACATCTGACTGCATTTTACACAAAATTACGTCAGAACGGCGAGAACTAGTGCCATACGCGCACGCACCTAAATCTGGGCTGACCCTCTGAAATGAACTGCACGGTTGTTGGGAACTATACTGAATTTCCTCAAGAACAATGGAAACATACATGGCAGTAGCAAGCCGTTTTAACTTAAAATCGTTCTTAAGTTATCCGAGGGATAAACAACTAACGTATAATCGAATGTAAGTCACCAAATCCACTGAATGACACACTTCCCTTTAGTTACCGAAACTCGTCAGGTTATTGCACCGTATCCACACATTCATCCCGTCCAGATATAGACCTAGCTGAGAGAGCTTGGCAACTGTGATTGCTGGAAGTATTGCTGGATTCCTTCGCACTTTATGCCTTATCTAGCCCAATGACCCTGTGTGATCCAACGGTTCGTCTGTGAACATTTTCACAAACGTGAAAAATAGGATGGCCATTACAGGCATGTCCACGAATTTGGCACACATTTTACGGATTGTCGGAGAGTTACCATAGTAACCATAGAGTTACCATAGAGTTACCCTGAGAGAACTCGCCGGCCCAGCGAAGGGAGTTATCTAACTCTCGTGTCTTGCCGGGACGACGCTCGTTTAAAAGTGTTGGTATCGACTTATTTAACACCATCTAACAACACGAGGAAAGCACACCAAGACATATTCCCCTAATGCCACCGCTAGATAACCGTGTAGAGTGTAGATCCCTGTGACTCACGATAGGAGGTGAATTAAACCTCTTCACACTTGCGCTCAACAGCAAGAGGCACACATGAACATGACTCCATAAAACGCCAACAGCTTCCTATTGCCAAAGGTCGGATAGAAGTTACCCCCTTGTACGAAAAACGTTGACACCCAACACACATCAATGTGTTAAATAACGCCTCATATACGAGTTAACACCGATTAAAACACCGGCATTTGGTGTACCTAACCCCGAGGCCCTAACAATGCCTAACAGCCTATCCAGCGTTACACCGCTGGTTAACTGATAACAATCCTACCGATAACGATATTGATAACGGTCCTACCGACCACTGAAGAATCTCTGGACGACTTCAGACCCCGGCTGGCGGCAGCGTCAGACGGCGGAGAGTCAGAGTCAGAGTCGGGAGTCAGAGTCAGAGTCAGAGTCAGAGTCGCCATAGTCAGAGTCGCCGGAGACTCAGACGCCGGGGAGTCGGGAGTTAGTCAGAGTTAGAGTCAGAGTCGGAGTCAGAGTCGAGTCAGAGTCAGAGTCGCCGGGGAGTCAGACGGCGGGGAGTCAGAGTCGCCAGAGTCAGAGTCGCCGGAGAGTCAGACGCCGGGGAGTCGGGAGTTAGAGTCGAGTTAGTGTCAGAGTCGCCAGAGTCGGGAGTCAGAGTCAGAGTCGCCAGAGTCAGAGTCGCCGGGGAGTCAGACGCCGGGGAGCCGGGCCCGGCTCCTGGCGCGCTGTCGGTCCGTTCGGCAGCACCGACAGGCCAGCAGCACCACACCGGCGCAAAGAGCCACAGCCAGGTAGATGTGCAGGTGTTTGAACCGAGACGGCAGCCACAGCACCGCGTAACTCACCCGGCCCGCACGGTCTGAGGAGGGGGGACGGGGGGGGGGTCAGCCAGAGCACCGCGTAACTCACCCGGCCTGCACGGTCTGAGGAGGGAGGACGGGGGGGGGGGGGTCAGCCAGAGCACCGCGTAACTCACCCGGCCCGCACGGTCTGAGGAGGGGGGGGGGGGGAGCGGAGGGGGGGGGGGGTCAGTGAGGGGGGGGGGGTCAGCCACAGCACCGCGTAACTCACCCGGCCCGCACGGTCTGAGGAGGGGGGGGAGGTCAGCCAGAGCACCGCGTAACTCACCCGGCCCGCACGGTCTGAGGAGGGCGGGGGCGGGGGGGGGGGGGTCAGTGACGGAAGTGAGAGCAGCTCAGAGACAAGGGACCGAGTTACAGCCAGGGTCAGTTAAGGATTACTTGGTTTAAATGTCGTATTGTAGAACGACACACTAAAAACTCAACGTTATATCGGTCGTGATGTCAACTCTTCGTGTATCAATACACAAAGCAGATATTAAGCCACAGAGAACAGAACAGCGGCGATGGAGGAGCTCGGGTCGATGACCTGAGCCGATCTCATCAAAAAACGGCCACAAAGCCGGCTATCTCCACAAACAATGCCCGCGGCGCTCTGTGGAATAGCGCCGGACCTGTTGTCTCGGTATGTCTCAGTACCCAAACAATCAGCGGGGCCGGCGTACCCTCACCCGCCTCTTCACTGTGAGATAGCACTGTTTGAGTTCATAAGTGGGGCGCAAGAGAGATTAGCTGCAGAGCCTCTAAAGGCACACACTGTTGATGTTACGAGATATGGGAGATACACTTGGACAAATGTTCACAAAGACGAACTCGATGGTAACATAACTTTGGCCAGCTTATGATAGTGTCGTTATGATACAACCAACAGAGATCCAAATACCACACAGCTTACATGCAACAAACGCCTCATAACTATTATGGGGTTCCGTAAAATCCAGTAAAATCATACAAATTTAACCGACGAAGCATGCAATTCTGAGCCCCCGCCCCTCTGACCAGCCTTTTACAAATATGACCAAAACGAGTCAAACCACGCATGCGTTCTACATCCGGACAATCAGGGATAATTTTCCGGGATAACCGGGATCATTCGGTGTTTTAAGCTGACACCGTGCACAACGGACATGACAACGAGTAAAATAGCCATTAGTGAAGCAAAGGCAATCTAATAATGTGACCAATTACATCGATAGTCCCTGCAATATCAAATTATTACCGGTGATACCGGATAATTATCCCTCATTTTCCGGATGTCGAACGCACGCCACGCGTCATTCTCCGTATGGCTCTGGGGTCACGGACGCGCGGTGACGCGGCGGTTGCCATGGTTACGTACCGATGACGGCGGCTCCGTAGCCCATTGTTCTGACGCCCATCCGGTATGAACAGGTCGGTACGACAATCTCCACCGTGTTATCGTCCTGAAACACACCACCCAGGGTACAATCTTAAAACATGTCGTACTATTCTATTCACGCCAATTGGTAACATAGTGATACCAGTGTCGACAAACGGTTAGGTATCCGAGTCAATGAAATAATTTTTTGGACTGTCGACAAACGATAGATTGAAATACGTGAAAACCATTTTGCATTTGATGGCCGTTTTCTGCATATGAACTTCAGCCAGTGCTGCCATATCCATTCCAGGGCATTTATAAGATTGAGCCCAGCAGCGGTTTACGAACGTGGACCGGTGATAGGACACCCGAGGATATCACTGAGGCAACACAGCTCGGGCAGCGGTTTATATCGACAAAATACCGGGCATGTTTTGTGGAAAACCAACACAGCTGCTCAGAACTCATCAGAAAGAGTTACGAGTTAAAACAGGGGTACCCAAATCAGTCATATAAATCTGAACCTTTACACTCTGGCTGGTGTAGCCAGTAGAAACACTGTAAGATACAGATATCTCTTGTATTTCGCCACAAAATCGAGACATATATAGTTTTACATACGAACTTACTTATCTAGTATTGCACACATGTTGGCGAGAACATCGAATGTAATAAACGAATACATATGGTTTTCAATATACACATAGCCAATGCAGTTGTCCAAACAATACAGCAGTTTAAGCGAACGGAACGTTAAAAAGGGGGGCGCACAACTTAATCGAAGGCTTTAGCAATTTAGAGACTGGTGAAAGCGACACCTATTGACAAAACTGTAACTCGCGGTTCACAGCATCTAGCGGCGACCGGCAGAAGTACATGGGCCTAGCGGTGACCGGCAGAAGTACATGCAGGGGCTACATCACTCCCCCGCCCTAGTTAAACACCATAAAAAGAAGTTTGGCGGCGAGTACGCGACGAACGGCGGAGAGGGGGTGGCGGGTCCGGCGGCACGCCCGGGCGAGAGCCGCCGGGGGCACCTGAGCGGCTGGGTGCAGGCGATGCAGCAGGCGGGCGGTCCACCGAGCTGTCTGTCGCTGTAGTAGGCGTGTCGTTCACCAGGATGTCCGGTGCTGCAGGCGGCGTTGCGGCAGGCATGTTGTCCGTGAAGGCCGGTTTACACCGAGCCAGGGTGACGGTGTCGCGTCGCCCGAGACGGTCGATGGTGACGGTGTGCTGGTCGCGGGATAGGACACGATAAGGACCGTCATAGACGTATTGGAAAGGAGAGCGATGCGAATCGCGTCGGATGAAGACGTGGGAGCAGGTTTGCATGTCTTGAGAGATGAAGATTTGGTGGGAGCCAGGACGAGGAGGAGTTGGACGGAGCTCCGACATGGCGGCACGGAGACGAGAGGCTAGGGAAGCCGGATCAGAAGAAGTGTCCGACGACATGGGGGAGAGGAAGTCACCAGGAAGTCGGAGACTGCAACCATAGACTAGGTCTGCAGCGGTGCATCCGAGATCCTCCTTGAGGGCCGTGCGCACTCCGAGTAGCACCAGAGGAAGTCGGTCCGACCAGGAGGCGGCGTCGTCATCGGTCCGCAGAGCTGACTTCAGTTGGCGGTGGAAGCGCTCTACCATCCCGTTTGCTTCTGGGTGGTAGGCGCAGGTCCGGATCCGAGAGGTGCCGAGAAGCTTGGAGACTTCTGTCCAGAGGCGGGACTCGAACTGGGATCCTCTGTCGGTGGTGATGAGTTCGGGTACTCCGAAGCGGGCGATCCAGCCGCTGACGAGATGCCGAGCCACCGTGACGGCGTCCATGGTGGGCAGAGGAATTGCCTCGGGCCATCGGGTGAAGCGGTCGATGACAGTCAGGAGATAGGAGTTGCCCTGGGACGGAGGAAGTGGTCCGACAAGGTCGATGTGGATGTGCAGGAAGCGAGAGTCAGGTGGCTGGAAGCTGCCCATGGGTGGCTTCGTGTGGCGCTGGATCTTGGCACGCTGGCAGTGCTGGCAGCTCCGGACGAAGGCACGGATGTCTGCGTTGATGTGGGGCCAGATGAACCTCGATGAGATGAGATGACGCGTAGCGTTGATGCCAGGATGAGACAAGTCGTGGAAGCTCTTGATGATGGAAGGGCGGAGTCTGGCTGGGACTACAGGTCTAGGTGTGGCCGTTGAGGTGTCGCACCAGAGACGTAGATGCGGATGATCAGGGACTGGGAAGTCACGGATGACCAGAGATGAGGATTGTTGCAGCTTCGGCAGGTCAGGATCGTTGGCTTGGTGTAGGGCGATGTCGGCCAAGCTCAGAAGGCCGGGTGAAGGTGTAGCTGCGGCAGAAGCCGGCGCAGACACTGAGCTGATCCGTGAGATGGCGTCAGCTACCGGGTTGAGGTGTCCAGGAACATGTCCGATCTTGCTGGTGTGCTGCAGAATCAGGTCCATGTGACGTTGTTCACGGAGAGAATGGTTGGCGTTGCCGTTGGCCTTGAGAGCAAAGACGAGCGGCTTGTGGTCCGTGAGGATCTCGAAGTCGCGTCCTTCCAGATAGGGCAGGAAATGTCGCACGGCGAGGTACATGGCGAGCAATTCCCGTCCAAAGGTGCTGTAGCGGCGTTGGGTGGGCGTGAACTTGCGCGAGAAGAAGGCGAGAGGCTGAAGAGAACCACCAACTCGCTGGTGGAGCACGGCGCCGGCTGCCGTGCTGCTGGCGTCAGTGCTGAGGCTCAGAGCTGCATCTTTGACGGGATGAGCGAGCTGGGTGACGTCAGCGAGGGCGGCTTTGGCTGCAGAGAAGGCGGCGTCTGCCTCTGGGGTCCACGTGACTGAAGCAGCTCGGTCGTCTGAGGCAGTCAGGCCGTGGAGAGGTGCCAGAAGAGCAGCAGCGTGTGGGATGAAGCGGTGATAGAAGTTGATCATCCCCAGGAACTTCTTGAGGCTCTTCTTTGACTCTGGACGGTCGAAGTTCTTGATCGCACTGACTCGATCGTCGAGAGGAGTGATGCCTCCGCTGGAGATCTGGTGGCCGAGGTAGGAGATGCTTTCCATGCCGAAGGCGCACTTCGATGGGTTGAGGAGCACACCGTTGCGGGAAAGACGGCTGAAGACCTCTCGGAGGTGTGACAGGTGTTCCGAGATGCTGCTGCTGGCGATGAGGATGTCGTCTACATAGACGAAGGCGAAGTCCAGGCCACGGAGGATGTGATCCATGAACCTTTGGAAGGTCTGAGCGCAGTTCCGGAGACCGTACGGCATACGGAGGAACTCGAAGGCGCCGAAGGGCGTTGTGATCGCTGTCTTGGCGATGTCTTCTGGGGCCATCGGTATCTGGTTGAAGGCCCTGACGAGGTCGAGCCGAGAGTAGATCGATGTCCCAGCGAGGCAGGCAGTGAAGTCGTGAAGATGTGGTAGTGGGTACCGGTCAGGCACTGTGATGCGGTTCAGTGCACGGTAATCACCACAGGGTCTCCAATCTCCAGAGGACTTGGGCACCATGTGCAGCGGTGATGCATACCGGCTGCTGCTGGGTCGGATGACTCCGAGACTGAGAAGGCGCTGGAACTCTGCCTTGGCAGTGGCGAGTCGAGCTGGATCCAGACGGCGTGGGCGGCAGAAGACCGGAGGGCCGGTAGTCTCGATGTGATGTCGGACTGAGTGCTGTGGCTCCGGATGATGTGACGGCTGGGTGAGGCTGGGGAATTCTCGAAGGAGGTTAAGGAAAGCTGGGTTGTCGGTTCCGACGACGGCTGTCAGTCCGGTGGATGGCACGGAAGAGTGGGAAGCAGGTGAAGACAACTCAGTTAGGTGGTCGATGAGACGGCCTCTCTTGGTGTCGACGAGGAGATCATACGAGGAGAGGAAGTCGGCTCCTAGGAGAGGATGGGAGACGTCCGCGATGATGAAGATCCAGTTGAAATCTCTTCTGAGGCCGAGAGAAAGCGTGAGCATGCGCTGACCATAGGTCTGGATGCTGCTGTTGTTGGCTGCTTGCAGATCCAGTCCGTTGGTTCCGCGAGCACGATCGGTGGGTGTCGCTGGAAGAACACTGTACTCGGCTCCAGTGTCGATGAGGAAGGTGATGCCAGTGTTGTTGTCCTTGAGTCTCAGAAGGCCGCTGGCTGGAGGGACGTCAGGGTTGAGCAGGGCAGGTGCAGACGTCTGTGTCACCTGTCCTACTGCTGGTTTCCCGAGGTCTGAGTTGCGGTTGCAGACCACGAGCACGGTGACTGACATAAGCGCGCGTTGGTACCGAACTTGTGGTGGTACCAGCAGAAGGAAGCACCAGCGCCGGTAGACGTGTTGGTTGCAGGGCTGGGTGACCGGGCAGCAGCAGACAGGTCGCGTGGTGGACGGTGGCGAGCGCGGCCGGGCGCACGGGATGCAGACCTCTCTCGGCGGCGCGTCTCGTCCACCAGGGTGGCGACTGATGTTGTGAGGGCCGTGATACCAGTCAGCAGCTGGCTCATCAGGTCTTGGAGGTGGAAGGGTCCTGCAGGAGCAGCAGGTGAGGCTGCAGCAGGCGCAGAAGTCGATACCGCGGCGAGAAGGCCTGAGGTAGGTGCAGCGACGTCCGACTGCTGCGGAAGCTCCAGGAGTCGGTCGGCAGTGCTAGCGATGGTCGCAAGGTCCGTCCCAGGCGGCAGGCACTGGAGGAAGGGCTGAGTCCGAGGCGGAAGAGCATTGAGGAAGATCTGGCGGATGAGCGGGGAATCTTGTGAGCCTTCAGCTTCAGCAAGGTCCAGGAGATGCCGAAGGAATTGGGAAGGACGCCTGTCGCCGAGTTGTTGGCCAGAGAGCAGGCAGCGAAGACGCTGTTCGACTGATTTGCCGAACCGCTGACGGATGGCGTCGGAAAGGATGGTGTAAGGTCGGTCTTGAGGAGGGTTGCGGAGGATGTCGGTGAAGTCGCGCAGGAGGTGGCCAGGAAGGAGAGAAGCGGCGATCCGGAAACGGCTGAGCTCATCGTCCACAGCTGCCTGAGAGAAGAAGAGGTCGAGCTGGACGAGCCAGATCACGGGGTCCTCCTCGAAGAAGCGCGGCGGCGCGACGTGGCTGCGTGGCGCGGTCGCCACGCGGAGGTAGTCCGGTTGGGCGGCAGCGGCAGCAGCAGCAGCAGCGGCATGCGAGGCGGCGGCGGCGGCTGCACCGGCGCCGGCGGCTGCACCGGTGCCGGCGGCTGCACCGGCGCCGGCAGGCTGGGTCTTCTGGTCCATGGCTGCCGAGAGCAATGGTCGGGAAGATCGGTGGCGGCGACGGCGACACGGCGATCGGCAGGTGCTGCGGTGCAGCTGCAGAGGTAGCCGGACGGTAAGGTGAGCCGATGAAGTAGCTGGATCGTAGTGCAGCAGTAGTAGTCGGCGTTATCCACTTCCACACAGCACAAAAAAGGATCCTCGTGGAGACACACCATCCGCCACTTCCTTCCTACACAAAGAGAGCTGGAGGAGATAGCTCAGGGTGCAGGCCAGTGTCGGTGTGCCAGGGAACACGAGGGGATAGCGATCCGTTAGTGCGTAGAACGCGGGGTCACCAATCTGGCTGGTGTAGCCAGTAGAAACACTGTAAGATACAGATATCTCTTGTATTTCGCCACAAAATCGAGACATATATAGTTTTACATACGAACTTACTTATCTAGTATTGCACACATGTTGGCGAGAACATCGAATGTAATAAACGAATACATATGGTTTTCAATATACACATAGCCAATGCAGTTGTCCAAACAATACAGCAGTTTAAGCGAACGGAACGTTAAAAAGGGGGGCGCACAACTTAATCGAAGGCTTTAGCAATTTAGAGACTGGTGAAAGCGACACCTATTGACAAAACTGTAACTCGCGGTTCACAGCATCTAGCGGCGACCGGCAGAAGTACATGGGCCTAGCGGTGACCGGCAGAAGTACATGCAGGGGCTACAACACATTCGTTTTGATCGGGTTAAACCGTAATTTCTGTCCTATTAGTCCATCTTAGGACGGTAATGTGAATGACGGGCTGATGTGAGACATTGGGTTGGTTCGACCACGACTGGTGTGCTGGTAATAGCTGAGCGTCGGATATGCAGCGTATACACCTTCTGGACCGTCCCGTTGGGAATAAGACGAGCCCGGAGAGGCAGGTCAGTAGCCGCCCAGACCTCAACGGTCACTCATGAGGGGGGGGGGGGGGTGCGTCCCCCCAGGGATAATCTCTGAGCGGAATGAGTGGGTATATTATCGTCAGGGATGATGATGGGTTGTGCATGAAGAATGAGGATGAGGTGGAATGCCTCAACTTTTCCCTCTATATGTAGTATGAGAAACTTCGTCCCTCTGACTCATCCACACCGCGGTAACGGCTAGGCGCAGGAGCCGACGGGACCGCTACGCCGGACCGCCCCCCCCCCCCCCCCCCACCGGCTGATGGGCGCAGGGTCATCCCTTCCGCCCCGCATCGCCGAGTCGGCCGGGGGCGGAATGCGGCGGCGGCGGCGGCACGTAAACATCCGCAGGGGAGGACGGGCACGGCGAGACCCGCGGGCCGGCGCAGCAGCGCGACCAGCGGAGGGTCCGGGAGACCCCACGGCCTCCGCCGGCGCGGGTGGGCCAGGTGGGCCACCTGACACCGCCCCTGCCAGCTCAATGTTTTCTGTAATACTCGGAGGTTACTGGCCGGCCGACTCCCATCGGTCGGCGCCGCCTGCCACTGGAGGGGAACAACAACAACAACAACAGCAGCAACCCGACCTCCAGGCAGCACTCGAGGCAGGCCGCCATAGAGATATAATCTATAGAGATAGATACCCATCCCATTGTTAAAACACTTAATTTTAATCGGTTTATTGCGGTTTATTGTGCGTTTTTTAAGTTCCCTTTTCAGACAATTTAACGCTCGTGATCGATCGAAACAACATTTTTCTTTGAAGGAACATCAGAAAAATGAGTTGCTGGAAGGTCATTGACATCCAATGTGAAAACTATTGGAGCTAAGCCGTGCCCTGTTTCGCTCCTGGAAACTTCTTCGAGGAAAGAAATTAAAAAACAAAGAAGAAATCGGTAGATAGAGGTAGTGAAAGTGATGATTGCACGATGTTGATGAACATATACCTTACTTGGAAAACGCCCAATAAACGTTGGGAATTTTGACGTTAGGGCATCTCTGAATATAATGAGGCCAGAGCGGCCAGAGGGACTGCTGGCTAGGCCGAGTCGGCAGCACCGTCCACTTTCCCGGGCTGAGTCCTGCGCTGTTCTGTTCTCATCCGTTCAGCTGTATGACCTGACCTGTCCTGCGGGACTAGATTTAGCGAGCCGCGACCCAGGCAAGGCCATCAGCCGCAGGCGCGGTATATCGCCTCAGTGCCGTCGAGGTAGGACCCCTACTCTCTGCTCTCTACTGGGGCAGGCCTCGGCAATACTGTGCCAGAGACTTGTGGTTGCGTGCGCCGACCATCGAGCGCGACACAGCAACAGAATGTATGTACGAAGGTGAGGCCCAACGGGCCCTTATTGTGAATAGCCGATGGCGAGTGTAAATATTGTGTGTAAGTAATTGCTTTCGAAGCTGGCTAAGCCCGTTTTGGGTCTGAATTGAGGGGGCGAGAAGGATCGGCGAATAAGACGGCAAAGAACTCGGAACACGTAGAAAAAAAAACTACGACTCGGGCGCTCAAACGAACGCTACAGTATATTAGACACGCCACGCTAACAAAATAAACCCAAGCCGTAATAACGATCATAAATAGATAGATCGAAACACAAAACAATAGTATATCAGAGTTGGTAAACAATCCCGGCTCTCACCTCGAGGTTGATGCTCTCGAGTGCCGGCGAGTTGAGGCCCTCCATCCTCAGACTGTGACCCGTCTCCTTCCTTCTTATACCCACAAAGGAAGTGTGCGAGTGTGCCGAGAAAATCAGGTTGATCCGGAGGCGCCTTAGGGCCTGCGGAACGGGAGAATGGTTAGCGAATATACTCTGCGTGAATCAGTGACGTCATGGTATTAAGTTTCTACCACACATGTATTTTTCCAGCATCAGGGTCGGCAAGTATTCGTTGTTTCCGTAGTGTAGTGGTTATCACGTCCGCTTCACACGCGGAAGGTCCCCGATTCGATCCCGGGCGGGAACATTACTTTTGACAGATCAGGTCAGCTCTGGCAACTTCAGAGCACGTGGAATTTTCGAGCCGCGTGCCACCACCGAACCAACCCCCAAATCAGTAGTAATCGTCCCATGACACCACCAGCAGCCTAATGCATTTTCCTTCTCACTGGCCAGATTTCTGATCCCTCTGACCCAGTATTTGACCCTTTTGGCTGACCCCTCTGACCTCGTGGTTGACCGCTGACACGGAAGCCGTCAGCGGGAAGTGGCTCAGCATGACGTTAATGCCGTCCGACAGCGGTGGCCGCGTGTGGTTCGACCGCGGCGGGATGGTGCCGATCTGAGGGGGGGGGGGGGGGGGGTAGCGTCACAGCGGGGCGACAGCGACATACACAACCTGCAGAAGGCTTCAATGGCGTCATTACGAATAATGATAATGTTCCTATAACAGGCTACATTTGCCATTGAATAAAAAGACATGCAGATCAAAAGAAACAAAGCTGGGCAGGTTTAATCAGGTGCATTATCGCTTTGCTTTCAGTATCTTACTTTATTCATTATTCAAGGTTAACCTAGTACATTAACCTAATGCTTCATCCCATCATGATTCTGAAAAATAAATACTATTTATTTTTCACGAATAGGGCCCAAAAACGACACCCAGTCCCTTCTAAGAAGTGTTTTACATAGTCAAATCAACTGACCTGCCGGCACCTTACATTCCAGCACAACCGCCCAGGCCTGGGCTCCGAGTCGTCCGAGCCCGACCCCTACCTTGTAGAACTGGACAAAGTCCACCAGGGCAGTGTCCTTTCCCCCAAACTCTGCCCGGAAGGCGGCCACCTTGTCCTGTTTGACCGGCTCCGAGCCCTCGCCGCCAATATCGTTATCCCCGGGCACAGACACCACCTGGCGGCAGAATAGAGAAACTGTAGTTACCAGCCGAACACGAGAGGGCAGCGGCAGTCCGAAAGCCGAGTACACGAGTGCGTTCGGCATCTGGAAAATGAGGGATATTTCCGGGAGCACAGTCAATTGTTTGGTATTGCAGGGGTCGTCATCCGTCCGTGCTTCTATCCTCAAGATACTGAAATCCTTCTCCTCCACGCCACAACCCTCCTCCGGGCTGGACAGGCAACTTTATCTCATGCGGGCTGCTCCCTTGGAGCGGCACCGCTGCTCCCGAGGGAGCGCACCCCGTAGCCGGGTGCAGTGAGTGCCTTGGGGCTGGGTGGCCTGTCCTCTGGACGGGCTCAGCCCCGGCGACTCACTAGGGTGCCTGCCCAGACCAATGTCTCCCCCTAATTCCTATCATCCTTCCGGCTCTGCAATGGTCTTGTCGACCGAAAGGGCCTAACCCAACAAAACAAACAAACAAACAAGCAGGGGTCGTCAATGCAATTAGTCATGTTTTTCACATTTCTATTGTTTCGCCAATGGCTCTATTACTCGTTGTTATGTCCGTCGTTCACGGTGTCAGCCTAAAACACCGATTCATCCCGGTGATCATGGAAAATTATCCCTGATTGTCTGGATGCCGAAAACACGCAACATTGTCCGAGAGTTGATATTTCTTATCCAAAGCCATGCAATATACAGGTTTGCTTTCTTAGATTGGTGAGCTTACGTAAATTCAAGTGAAAAGAGTCACCGCAACAAGCAAATGTATTCCATCCCAGAACTCGGAATCCACTGAGGACCACAGCGAGTACCTTGATGTTCCTGGGCGTGCTGAAGATGCTCCAGAACCTGCTGACGTAGCGGCGGTACTCCTCGGGGGAGGCGATGCTGCCCTCGTCCAGCAGGTCCCCGAGGAAGACCACCACATCAGGAAGCACGTGCTGGAACGCCCGCCAGAAGCCCTGGCGCATGAACCTGACGCCAAATATCGACCAGTTAGGAGATGGTACGGGATGCGGGCTCTCGCACTTATCTAGCAAGTAGCGAGTAAAATCACCTTTACCGGATCATTCAAGTGACTCGGCTTATATAAACAAAATTGAAAACAGCTGATGATATATACGACATGTCACATCGTTACGCTATATACTCCAATAATTTGACACACACCAGTCGGGGATATGTCCAAATTCCGACACCTCACCCTTTTCACCATCCCCCTCTCGCCTTCCCAGTCCCTCTCTCTCCCTCTCCCTCTCCCTCTCTCTCTCTCTCTCTCTCTCTCTCTCTCTCTCTCTCTCTCTCTCTCTCTCTCTCTCTCTCTCTCCCTCCCTCTCTCTGACCTGTCAGAATCCCACCGTGTGACGGTTCCCAGCGGCGCGGCCGGCTCGTTCCTCTCCCCCTGGAGCTGAGGATCGGCCACCAGCAGGAGTCGCACACTGCCGGACGGGTGCTCTCCAGGCAGGGCCGGCCAGGCGCGCGCAGTGTGCCACAGGTCGTACCACTCGCCGTATAGGAGTACCGAGAGTAGCGCCAGTAGCAGGATGTGCCGCGGGGAGACTACCGGTCTGCCGGACCGGGTACAAAGGTACAGAGGTACAGTGGTTCAGCGGGACAGACAGCGGTACGGACACGGGGGGGGGGGGGTACAGAGGTACAGCGGACGGCAGGGGGGGGCGTACAGTAGGTCTACAAAATAAGTCCCCACCGTAAGCGGGTCACCAGTGGGCAGTTAGCGCCTGAGCGCGCCACCTGCCCGCATACGGAGAGGACTTATTTTGTAGACCTTGCAGCGGTAGAGCGGTGGATACAGCGGCGACAACACCGGTCTGCGGGCCCCGGTGGGTATTACAGAGGACAGAGCGGAGGGCAGAGGGGAGAGGACGGGAGAGCGATATTGGGGGGAGCGGTATAATGACAGTCAACGGAACAGCACGAGGGACGGCAGGGTCGGTGATAAATAGGAGAGAGAAAATGGGGATCAGACGAACGAACGAACGAACGCACGCACGCATACACAAGCGAATCAAAAGTGAAAGGAAAGCACATGTGCATGATGTGCAACGTACGTGCGTGAATGAAGCGTGGGAATGACAGAATTCATCACATAACTGCCAGATGTTATGTGAGGGCTAATTTCTAAATAAAACGTACAAAAACACTTTCACGGCGCCTTGGCGTATTTATTGAACAAAAAACTGCCAGAGTGTGTTCGGGCTTGGCGCCCTAACATTATACTGGATCCCGTCATGCATAAAAGTATGGGACTGAAAAATGTAGAATTTTGTTACATAATCGCTCTTCAATGGAATGCCTGTATTTTAACTGTTTTGCTCATATAGTGGACACAACTTGACTTTAATGACACGTGAACAGGCAAAATTAATGTAAGCGAAACAATAACCAAAGTCCAAACGCAGGCAAAATGCACACCACACACGTCGACTCACAACAGCTTGATGTGTTCACACCACACTTCAAACAATTCAAACACTCACGACAGCAGGCCAGCTGAGCTGTCCGCCTCTGCGCTTTGATAGCGCGTCACAGTCCTTATTCACAGTCCTTGGTCACACCGGCGCAGAAACCACTCTCCATCGCTCGCACACGTGCCCTGTGACCGGTGCCACCTCCCCGGGCGGACACCGGGCGCTCACTGACCGCTGTCGCCGGTGGCCGGCGCGCGCGGTATGATCTGCACCGACGACGGGTCGTACGGCTGCCCTCTGAACGGAGACCCCTCGGCGTCCCAGGCCTCGCGCAGCAGGGCCGTCACGTCCGCGCCGCCGCCGGGCGCCGGCGCCCCGCGGCGCTTGGCCTCCTCGCGGGCACGCAGTTCGCTGACCTTCATCTGTTCCTCCTGGCTGAGCTCCTCCCACGGCTTGACAGCCTCGATTTTCTGCAGGTCGATCTCCGGCTCGTCCTCCAGCAGCGCCTTCCACCAGCACTCCCTGGTCTTCTCGAGGCTGAGCTGCACGCAGTCGCCCGGCAGCAGGCTCCAGGAGGACTCCTCGGCGCGCACGGGCCGGTGCAGCCGGCCGGACATCAGCTCAGCGCCGGCGGCCAGACCCACGGAAACGCTCTCTGGCCGCAGCTGCACGGCCACCTGGCGCGCGCGCACCACCTCTGCCGGCACCGGCACCTGCACCGTGAGGTCGCAGATGGTCTGTGACCAGCTGTACGTGGCGCGCGCCGCGCCGTTGTGCGTCTCGGCGGCGCTGCGAGCCGCCGCCGGCCGCGGCCGCCCCTCGGCCGGCGGCGGAGGCGCTGCGGCGCCAACATCTCCGCTCCTCTTGGTGTCCGTCGCGGCTTCTTTAGACGCTCCCCCAGAGTCAGCAGATGACGTCACACCCGCCGGTGACGTCACCACCTCCTCCTCGGCCACGGCCGGCGGCACGGCGGCGTTCGCGCGCTGCACCTCGCGCCATTTTCTGAACGTGGTCACTACCAGCTGCTCGGCCACGCCCGGCGGAAAACCCATCGACGACGGCCGCGCGTGCTCGTGGAAAAAGTCGGTCCTCCGCTGCAGGAAGCCGAATATGACGTCTAGGAAGGGCACCACCTTGCCCTCGGCCTGCAGGATCTGGATCAGAGCCTCGTCGTACCGCTCGGAGCCCATCGTCGGCCTGGAGTAGTTAAACAGCCGCTCGGCTCTCTTCTCAGCCACAGCCAGCGTCTAGGCACACACGCTGGAACAACGCAGCCGTCTAAGACCTCAAACTAAAATCACCACACGGCTGAATGCTTAGATAGTGCTGGAAACAAATGCATCACGTTCATTGTGCTTGAGATTAAAAATAGGAGAGTTCAACAGTCACGCAGATTTGCCTTATTTAGATACGCATTGTTTGCGGTCAGCAGTGTCAAACTGTCAAACAGTTCGTCGGAAAGGAAAAAGTCACAGCGCATACATGTGACATTGTCGATGGCATCCCTCCCCAAGCAATTGTTACATGCGAATTTATATTCAGGAATTTATTTGCGGCAACAGAGAAAGCTACCCAAACTGTGATTGTTCGGTAGCTTTCGTTTAACTGCCATGTATCTACACTACAACCTATCTCCTCCTTATAATTACACATAAATGTCCCCCGAAAGCAGCCGACAAACTGTGATCGTTCGCTGTCGCCTGTCCAAATCAAGCAAACGCATTCATCGTACGCAATAAGGATGTGTGTCGAGTTTTCAGTGCAGATTTTCTCAAAGTCAAACATGACCGTACGTTTTATATCGGCATCGTAAATTATCACGAGCTAGACGAGTTGAAAATGCAAAACCAAAAATCAGCATTACGATCTGGAATGGAAAGACTCAAATGTGTGCAACCGTGTAACAAATCATCACGTATTATATTGTTTGTTAACTCGTAGGATAGAGCTATTGTCATTATCATTTTCAGGAGTATCTGAAGGGATGACTGGATGAAATCGACGATGTCATTTTTTCAGGACCAGGAGTGCACAATACACCACGGGACATGGGATATAACAGGGAGATACGTAACATTCGCACGCCACTTGCTAACGCCGGAGAATATAGCGACCGAAATGCAAAGCGATAAAATACAACGTACCATTTTTAAATGTACAGCATGTTGCACATACAAAATTCAGAAACAGGTCACCCCTATTTGAAACGCCCTTATATCACACCAGAAAACGTGGCAAATAAGGTTACCTAATTCTCATGTCCTGAATGGACACAGGTCGGAAACTATTCTACCCACAGAAGAAGTGTGGCCAGCAGCGCAACGACAGCCCTCGGGGCCACCTTCAGAGCCCTCTGGAACCGCCTGGCTACACCGCTGGATGCTGGACCCCCCCCCTCCCCCCACCGCTAAAGGGAACATCAACAAGGCTACATCCAATGTGTTGTTAGATACCCAGACTGTGATATATATTGGCAGTAGTGCTGCGAGGCTGAACCACCAATGATCAGGGCTATGGCATCCATGATTAACTTATATCTTTGGTTCCAAATGTTGCCAGTGGTCCAGGATAGCAAAGTGCTGTCAGACAGTGTGCAACAAAGTATGTTTGGGCAATCTCATCAAAATAGAGTGAACTATATATAATAGGTGCAAAGTAAAGATTATAGAGTAGTAGTGAAGCCAGACATCACACTTGTTTTTTTTTTTTACAACCAAGGAGAGGTGCTGTAGGTTAGGTTGTAGGTTGCAGCAGGTATAAGGTGGACATGGTAGGTTTTAGGTTATAGGCTGTAGGTTTAAGGTTGTAAGTAAGGTTTAGGTCAGGTTTGGTTAGGTTTGTTTTGGTTTTATTAGAAAGCATCCCTGGGTATAGCACCTCTCCTTGGTTGCAAAAAATCAAGTAAGATGCCTGCTTTACGACTACTGATTATAGCATACCTGATAACGCGAGGTTTCAGAGGGTAGCCATCTCGGAAGAAGCAGGGCATCTTTAGCCAGAGTGAGTTTTCGAGTGAAGCTGCGTTGCAGTGCCGACCTGCAAAGCAAGTACTGGATACCAAACTCCAAAAGTGACTCCTCTGCAGTCTGCAGTTTGAGTTCAGTTCAGCTATGGAAACTAGCCAGAAAGCGTTGCCAAGACCACGGCATCCCAGATCAGATCCTCGACCTGAAAGACAAATAAAGTGGAAACAAAAGATCAAGGCTATATAAACCCAAAACATGATTACTTAATGATGAACATTGAATGACAGACTAGACTTGAAGAAGAAAATAGAAATGGCCATGGACATGCATGCATGTACTTACTATAGCATGTATTCTCATTTATTTGGGTTCAGCAACCGTTCTCACTCTTCCCAAGGCTGAGGCAGCGCGTATTCCTGCTGGATCCGGACGCCGGTGAAAACAGGGCGCCGGAGGGCATACTAGTCACGTGACATTTGGAAGTTCTCCCCCTTTGTGGGCCTTCTATATGCTAAACGTCACGTGTGAATTTCACGAACCTTGATCAAATCGCCCCAGGCGCCCTGTTTTCACCGTCGTCCCTGGATCCTGCCTAATATCAATATACGGCCTGCATAACGGCCTTGGTAAAATAAACAGTTTAGGAAAAATGTTTAGTACGAAATGAAAAAAAAATATTGTAATGACGTCATCAATAAACTAAGCAAAGCAAAAATGTAGGGCTAGTGTCGTCTGTCGACAATTGTTTGTCCTCATTTACAACTAATATAATCTAACATGCCTTGACCTAACCCAATCTGACCTAAAATCTATCAAACTTAAGTAATATAGCTCTACCTAATTTTACTTAAGCAGCACCTTGTTCATTGAACTTTTAAAATTCTATGACGTCAATATATATCAAGGTGACGATGGTTAGCTAAACAGTTGGCCTAGACATTTGAAGCATAAATATTGACGAAATCGGCGCAGTTTAATTTAGTAGGTATAGTCGGTTGCGGTATTTTTAAATGATTTTGGCGTATTTTGTCTATTTAGTTTTTATTTAATCGTCGTTACATGTTCTCAGTTAAAGGGACTATCCCACCTTTAACATGGGGTTTGAGTTGAGATAGCCAAGTTTGCGGCGAGGTTCAGAAACCACTATCTATCTAGGTTGCAACCCCCGCGGCCTCTTGGTGTTGAAGAAATTCGTTCCCTTCATTTGAAAATGGGCCTTGCGCAAGGCCCTATCTTCAACATGGAGCGACCGTTAGTGTGACGTCACCTCGTTTAGTCATTCTGATTTAAATGGGTTTGTTCGTTGAAAAATCGCTTAAAACTTTGTCTGAACTTTGTTGTGGTGCCTACAGAGTAAAAAGAATCAGCTTTATGACAGTAATGTGGCCTGGGGAAGGAGGTAATTTTGGGCTGTGACGTCACATATTTGAAAGTTTGTGTTTGGAATATGGGAAGCCTAAGATGTTTAATGAAAAATAAATGCCAGAACCGTGTTCCTGGTCATCCAATCTATAAAGTCGGGCACAATTTAACTGGTTTTAACAACATTTTAGAAGGTGGGATAGTCCCTTTAAGTCGTCTGCTAATGGTTCCTACCTACTTACATGAATTTTATGGCATTCGTCAAGAAAGTGCACAGAGCTGTAGCCTTAAGTCAGTCCAGTAAATATTTACCCAACATCTACAACCTGAACATGTCAACTGAACTGAACATGTCACTGAACATATACACTCATTTTCATCTTTTGTTTCAGGCACAGAATACCTACATCGGCTGAAGATGGCCACTACTTGTCTAATATGCAAGCACCCTTTGGGTTCGAGGCTGAACATCTTCAAGACCCGCACCAACTTTTCCAAGACATTGGTGTCTTCCAAGCTATCTAAGTTGGTCCAGGCCAATTTTAGACAGGTACTGTCCCAGCTGGTAGGGTGTGGCATTTTTACCACTTTGTGAGCGATTCATCGCAGTACAATCCATGTTCTATCATTGACTGGGGACCCGTGTGTTCCGGCAGGAGGCGATGGAGGACACCCAGGACATCTGTGTCAGCTGCTCAGCTCTGATCAACCAGGTGGATGAGTGCGAGATCAAACTGATGGCTCTGGAGAACGAGGCAAGTGCACAGAGAGAATGGGCGGCATGGACCTATAGGGCATAGGCTACACATGAGCACAATTTTATCCCTGCCAAAAGATATAATGGCTGAATTAAAATTCAGTCATTCAGCCACTCCAACTGCTCCGAGACGCCTTCTCCAGCCATCTCTGTACGTAGTTGTTTTGTCCGTTTGGGTTTCGCTGACCTGTGCTGCCACCTGCCGTCGGTTAGGTGAAGCTCAAGTACAAGATGCCGTTCCCGATCGAGGTCCACAGCCGGCGCTCGGAGGCTCCGATCCCTCCCCCGGCTCCTCCCGCGCCTCCCCCCGGCCCGGCGGCGGCGGCGGGGGAGGCGGCACCGGTGGAGTCTCCGCCGGCGGCGGCGCCGGCCGGCGGACAGGCGGCGCAGCACGAGCCGGCTGCCGGGGCCGAGCAGGAGTTCAGCTTTATCAGCATCGGTCAGTGACTCAGTAGCGAGCCGGCCGCCGGGGGGGGGGGGGGGGGGTGAACGCGGCGCGCGGACGGCCAATCACTGGTGAAATCGGACTCGATGTAATCGGACTCTATGCATCGCTTCTCGGCCTTTTGGCTAAGATTAAAGTGTAGTAGGCTACCTTTTCTTTTACAAAGCGCCGCTAAAACATGTTCTATTACGTTAAATATCTGTGGGGCATTCCCCCAGTATTTACACATGATCAAGGCTCACTGGTCGGGATAGGCATACTTTTGGCTGGCTGCCTTTTCTTTTTCTGGACTCTATGTGAACTCGACCGTTTAATGGACCGCTCAGTAACCTGAGGCCTCTTGCACCATGTCTGGATTCTGTTGTACCGGACACCCACACCTGAACCTACCGTCACAATTTACCTTAACCCGGCAGGCGGTGGGCCTACCAGCCACCTTCCGCGCGGTGGGGGGGGGGGGCACTTTTTTGCCCCCCCCCCGTATCTCCGAAACTACTGGACGGATCCGGAAAATTCAAACGGCGTTCGATAGCCCTGTCAAATTTGTTGAGGGAAACCAAATTTCATTGACCTCGGGGTCACCGATGACGTCACAGGTCAGGTCAAAGATAAAATGTTTCACGGTTCACGGGGCTTCTAGGGAAAGCGCTATAACACCGAGTAAAACGCATTTTGTCGAAAATCAGCGATAAGGCGTCAGTTGTCTAGTACATATGTTGCTATTAGAGGTCACTGGTCATACCAGGTCAGGTCACAGGTCAGGTCACCAAAGGTCACCAAGGGTCACCACATGAGCCCAACTTTACTAAGGTTATGCGATGCATGTTTTATGGCCAGTTTTTCATTTCCAACTCAATGGTGTTGGTTATAAGACCATCAGGTACGGTTTAGGTCACTTTCTGGTGGAGGTCAGGTCAAGGTCAGGTCAAAAAAGGTCAAATTTCAAAGTTGATATTTTTGCATAAAATCGGTATCAATTCGATGCAGCTCGTCACGGGGAGTCTAATGGTGGTCTTTGTTTTGCGCTACGAGGTCTAGAATTGCTAAAAATTGAGTTTGAAAATTTGACGTCATCAATTTTGAACAGTTTTTTCGCTATAACTTGGCCAAAAAAGAGCTATCGATCTCAAATTTGGTATGTAGATAGAAGGCGGTAGGGGATATCACATATATTCCGGTTTTTTTCGAAATTCAAAAAACTTTTTGAATTTTTAGGCTATTATATTCGAAAAATCTATTTTTTTGATTTTTAGGGGTCAAAATCCAAAAAATTCGAAAAACCGAAATAGCAGTTTTGTAGCCCTCTAAATTCCACACCTTTTATGTCTGAAACATTTTTCTGTATCTCTAAAGCTGTAGGCCAGACAGCTCTTCCCGCGAAACCTTTTTTTGGGTCGAAAATGGCAAAAATGACGTCACTCTGACGTCAATAGCGGCCAACCTATCATAGCCTTTGAAAAAATTTTTGGTCACCATGTGCGCTAGCTGCTCCCGGGAGGGTACTGAAAGTTTGGTGATGATCGGCGCAGCGGTTCTCGAGATATATCGAAAAAACTAAAGGGGGGGCAAAAAAATGCCCCCCCCCCCACCACCTGGAAGGTTAAGGCTCTGCCAAGTACCGGTAGGTTTAGGTTATGAGTTAGTGCAAAATAATTTACCGTTGTGGGGCTAGCTAATTGATTGTGAGATCGTTTTTCATTCCATTTCACCTAGCTAGGTATTTTGGTGCGAGAGACCTCTGCTAGGATCTGTACCCTGGATATTTGTCCGTCACCTATCGCCACTTGCTCTCCCTCTCCCTCTCCCTCGCCCTCTCCCTCTCCCTCTCCCTCTCCCTCTCCCTCTCCCTCTCCCTCTCCCTCTCCCTCTCCCTCTCCCTCTCCCTCTCCCTCTCCCTCTCCCTCTCCCTCTCCCTCTCCCTCTCCCTCTCCCTCTCCCTCTCCCTCTCCCTCTCCCTCTCCCTCTCCCTCTCCCTCTCCCTCTCCCTCTCTCTCTCTCTCCCCCTCTCTCTCTCTCTCTCTCTCCCTCTCTCTCCCCGCCATCTACACACTCTGTGACCTCACTCGGTATCTGTGTTTCCCTGTGTGTAGACGAGTCGGCACTGGACAACCCGACCATCGTACTCGAGGCCGGCGACGTGGGCGTGGATGGACACAACGTGGTGGTCTACAGGGTGAGGCCACTATAACGCTACAGCGGGGTGGTGTGTGGGACGACAGTCGGTGGGGACTTGCTCTGTGTTGTGGGGGGAGATGGGGGGGTGGATGGATATGTGTGTAGATGAAGTCCGAATGGTAGGTTGGTAGGTTCAAGGTTGTAGGTTAGGTGGTAAGATTACATCAGGTTAGATGTTTTTTGTCTTCACCATGCTTCATCTACACATTTACCTGAAGGGGAAGGCATTCTTAGTCGAGGGGCTACCAGAAGCGATGGTAACCGGCTGCTAATCATCAATGGGACTGTGGGAGCATTTAGCTCAGTGATGTATGGCTAATTTCCAAATGAGTACCGTCCCTGTAGGTGAGTCGTAACCCCTCTTTGTGTCGTACAGGAGCCGCACATTTCGCACCAGACGCTCAGTTGCGACCCCTCCATGTCGTAAGTCGTAACCCCTCTGTGTGTCGTACAGGAGCCGTATGGGTCGCACCAAACGCTCAGTTACGACCCCTCCATGTCATACCTGGCTCAGCTGGAGGCCTCGCAAATACGCGGAGATGACGTCACGGACACCGCGGCAGATCAAGTGAGTTATATGCTGAGTGGTGAGGGTGACGTCATATGGACCATGGGCACAGCTCTGGGGCGTAGGGAAGACTGGGAGGGGGTCTTTCATTGGGGGGGGGGGGGGGTGAGGAGGGGGAGGGGGGTGCCGAAAATTGACATAACTATATAGGTTATGAGGGAGGGTTATGAATGCACGTGAAAATGTGGTGGTGCTTTCAGTTGTACTCAGTAATGGGCAGGGTATTTTGTTGCATGATCACTTCAGTGACCGAACCCTGGCTTCAATTCTCCCGCGGTACTCAATGTTTGGTATGACGTGTGTGTCCCAGTATAACCCCCCACTCCTCCCAGCTGGAGTATAACCCCACCCTCCCCCCAGATGGACCTAGAGGCCGCCTCTGCGGAGCGGCGGCGGCGGCCGGCCGGCGGAGGGAGGCGGCGCCGGGGCAGCGGACCGCTGGCCACCGACGGCTCCGGTGTCTACTTCTGCGACCTCTGCGACGAGACGTTCGCCAGTCAGGACGGCCTGCGCGGTCAGTGGCCGGCGGGGGGGGGGGCTGAGGGACCGCGGGGGGAGGGCTGAGCAGAGAGAGGAGCTGTTGTGGCTTGTCATTGTCTACTCTGCTGATATTCTGTGTGCTTTAACCCGCGCCCCAGTGGCGGTCTCCGCCAACTTCGCCCTAGTGGGGGTGGGGGGGGGGGGGCATATGTTACCACCCACCTCTAACTCAAAAACTAAGAGGGCTAGAAAGACGCGGTAAAAAGCAGTCGATAGCTTTTGATGCGTGCGTTTGAAAGTGTTTCGGTCATTTTTCATCTCAATATTGGGGTCACCAGAGGTCATCAAAGGTCAAAATTTGCGAATTGTCATTATATTTTTCAGAAAACATGCCATTATCTCAGGAACTATGATAGCTAGAAAAACGCTGGGAAAAGCAATCGATAGCTTTTGAACTCTTCTTTTGATAAGGTCATTATAAAAAATGACCTCAGGTCAACGGTTTAGCCTCCAGAGGGCAAAAACTCCAAAAATAGCTGTTTTTAAGAAAAGTGTTTTTCGACAATAACTTTTGACTAAAAAAAAGCTAGGTCATTTCTAATGCCAGAATCGTGTTCCTCTCGCCGAGACGCGTCGAATGAACTATAATTTGACCTTGAAAGGTCAACTTCAAAATTTGACCTCAGGTCAAGGTCATGACCTGACCGGAAAAGGTCATGTTGCATATCAGTCGATGCGTCTCGGCAAGACAAACACAATGAGGCCAACCCCAGCGTTCTATCTTTTTCCAATCGAGAGTTATTGGCAAAAAAAACTGTTTGTAGCCTCAAATGACCTCGGATGACCTTTCAAGAGGCTATCAGCAAAAAAAGACACCTTGGTCGTCACGGGTGGTCCAAACCATTGTTATCCTGAAATATTTGGACTGTTCCTATGCGTACACACGGATCTAGAGGCATTTTCGTTTTTCTCCATTGACTTATAATGGAAAGGTCACGCCACCGACCTGACCTTAGGCTACGCATATAAAAAATCCGAGATATACAAATTGTAGGCACCCATAACATCATGTAATCCACCAAGTTTAAAACCTCTCTGACAAACACTGCAGGCTGGACATGATTGCAAACTTTTTTTTAGGCTTGGTCAGTTAACTTGACCTGGTGACCTGACCTGATATGACCTGGGTTCAAAAATTTCACACATTGTCCAAAATTGATGTACCAAAAGCTACCCCAAGCGGCGCGGCGCTACGCGCCGCGGTCTTTTATTTATACGAAAAAAACGCGACAGGGTGGTAACATATGCCCCCCCCCCCCCCACTGGGGCGAAGGTTAAAGTGACCATCCCATCTTAACATTAGTTTTGAGTTGAGATAGCCAAATTGGTGGCCATGGCCTGAAAATACCGGTTTGGGCACTCACAACATCGAAAAATGCTTTAATTCGGAGATATGGAATTTCAAACTTGCAGTTTTCGGATTCTAAGGGGCTAATGCATTGGTATGCCCCCTTAGAATTTGTGACGTCAGCGGAGGTCTAACAGTTTTTAAATCTTTTACTAAAACGTTTGGTAGCACGCGGTGGTATATGCTGCTTTGCGCGCAACAAATGCCGCACTTTCAAATAAAGTCGCTAGGAACAGCGGAGATCCCAAAAAGTAAACAAAAGTAAATGTCTAATATCTTGAAAACCGGTGAATATTTTTCGATGAAATTTGGTACATATTCGTTTTCGCTCTTTCTGAACCGAGCGACATCACTTTCATGCCAATTCATTAACTTTTTTGAAGGTGGGAGGGTCCCTTTAACGGACAGTGCTGATAGACTAACGATCGAGAAGCTGATTTGTAGAGTGGTTGGCCGAGGGGTACCTGGTAATGACGTTAATTTACTATGCTATAATCCAGTCCTCTCTCAAAGTGTTCAGTGCACGACTGTCTCCTGCACTAACTTGTGGTTTGACTGATGACTCCGACTCTGACCCTCCAGCTCACAAGGTATCGCACGCCAGTGACCGCAGCTTCCCCTGCCGGTTTTGTCACCGGATTTTTGCTACAAATATGGCGCTCCACCATCACTGGAACGAGGTCAGAATGCAGTACATTGCTCTCAGCTATGGAACGGTTAAGCTCAGGCTCCACTACGCGATGCTTTCGTGCGATATTGCGACATCGCGATATCGCACTATCGCAAAAGAAGTTCAGAATTGTGAACTTTTTGCGATAATGCGATAATGCGAGAGCGATATTGTCTCACATTTAATAATGCGATTTCCGCAGTGTAGCTCAGCGCATCCGTTTGCACTAGATGGACATTTTCTGGCATCGCCAAGGACATCGCATTATCGCAAATTCGCACGGAAAATCGCGTAATGGAGCCTGGGCATTATTGCACGATGGCGGATCGTTCCTAGGGGCATAACTGTCTTTGGCACGACGTGGATATTAGGAATGGATACAGTGAAATCAGAAGGGTTGAATTCGGAAGTAGACCAATAATTTAGTTGGGTTTAGTCAGATTGGTGCCTCTAAGTATCAGATGAGTTGGTCTGAGCTTTCACAAAAATCTGCCTTTCTAGACCCTCGTCGGGTAGAGAATGCGCTGGAGCCTGAGGGTTCTCTATTATTGTAGTTAGATATTAGAGGAGTTATGCTGTCTTTAACCCCTTGGTCACCATGCCACTTCCCTTCCAATTTATCCAGGAATAATCCACTATGAGAGCTATGGGCTATCGCTGGATTTTACCGCCACGTCGCTGTTCCTCAGGAACATCCTATGAAGTTACAGCCGTGTCCGTACTGCGACAAACGGTTCATCAACAAATCGAACCTGAACCAGCACATCAACACGCACCAGGCGCCCCGGTTCAGCTGTGAAGTAGCGGTAAGCGGGGCGCCGGGGGGGGGGGGGGGGGTAGGGGTGGTGGCCGGTGGGACAGGGGGATAGTCTGGGCGAGGGACAGCTGCATAAGATAGGACGGAAACTTATCCAAACCAGTTGATTTACTATCACCGATTTAATTCAGCTATACAATAGCAGAGGAACAGAAGGGTCGGACACCCATAATAGCCAAGCGAGACATAATTTAGATAGATCACGATACTGGCAATTCAATGGTTTCAGAAAACCCAGCGACACAAACTTTTTGAGAGGCGCACTCTGTGGCTTCAGGCTGCCCGGCTTTGTTCTGTAGAGTCGGTCACCCATTAACAACCAAGCGAGACGCGGCTTAGCGGGCTGTGCAGTATTGAAGTAAAGCCAAATGACAAGCTGTAGCACCGTCCACTGCGTTCGGTCCCGCGCTCTCAGTTTACCAGCCCCCCTCCCCCCCCCCCCCGCCCGCCCCCAGGAATGTAGCCGCCAGTTCCACACGCGAGGCGACCTGCGCAAACACATGGTGTTCAAACACTCCACGGAGAAAAACTTTCCCTGCCCGGACTGCGAGCTGAGCTTCAAGGTCAATTGGCTTCTGACGCGACACAAGGTGCGGGTGCACTCGCAGGTCTGAGACAGTCTCCCCCCTCCCCCCCCCCGGACTGGGGTACAGTGAGTGTTCAAATACCGCATTTGTGATTTAGGGGGGATGTTGTGATTTAATACCGTGTTAGGTTGACTGAAGGTACAGGCTCGTGTTGCCATGACGACGAACTAGTGAGTGAGTGAATACCAGCTGAGTGAGAGTTGCCGTGCGTCGGCGGAACAATGGTTGCCATGGAGATCACAATCGACTCCGAAGGTGCGTTGCCATGCCAACCAGAGCGCGGGAGCTTTTTGATCTGGGAGAGGCGCTGTGAAGCCACGTGTTACGAGACACGTGTTTGTACCACGTGGACTGCGAATCACACGCGGCACGTACGGGGAAGGGACCACGGGGGTGGGCAAGTCTAGAGACCCGATCCACACATTTCTGTCTAGTTTTGTAGCCTTTAGTTAAATAGTACATGCTAGCCTAGTGAGGTAAAAGGTAGTGGATATTATGAACGCCGCTGCGTACTGGGCGTTTCCTACCAAAGCACCTATCGTACCACTGCGGTAACTGAGGTGAGACAGAGCGCCCCTGCACGCAATGAGAATTCCGTGAGTGTCTCGACTTCATACAGCCTAGAATTGGACCCCAGTGGGTCTGTACAAAACAGTATATAGGGACATCAGGTAGGGCTTGTAGCTAGACGTGTATGCAGGTGATTTGAGCATGCGGCGAACTCTTGAATAGTGATTCGTGGATGCGTGAATATGTTGAATCGATCTGTCGCTTGTTTTATCATTAAGTGATTTATACTTTTCACCATGTCCAACCACCACACTCAGCGCTAAATGAAATGTTCATTTTCATCTGGTCATTTGAAAATATTTTCGAACAAACTTTTCTGCGTGTGCCTGGTCCGATGCGGGATTTCTTTTTATCGAAGTTTGTGCAAAAATGAGAATAGCCTGACGACGGCACTTCCAAATCTCGTCGAGCATGCCATCACAAGGAGGAAAACCGCGACAACACAGCCATTTGACGTTTGAGTGATTTATTGAAAGCACTTGGACGCCTACAAAGCTCTCTAAGGTTCTCACGTAACACGCGTACGCACGGGAGATATTAATATCAATGATGCGATCATTTGATCTCCCGCGCACCGCCAACAACAAACAATGGATGATCGCGCGTATAGACACAGTGGAAGATCTTGCGTACAGACGGGATTACTGAAGAGATACATGGTTGAGAGTCTTCAGTCTTCTTTGTTCGGGGATAGGATATAGCTGTACGAACTATTTATATACATTATGGAACCGACTGTGATGCGTTCAGTTATGTTTCTGATGCAAGGGGCGTTGCCTACGATGATGAACATCAAACAGCAATAATACTGCAGCTGAAAGACAGAAAAGAATGAGATGGTGGATAAGACATAATTTAACTACCAGAAATGATTCATCAATACGGACTAAAGGGATCCTGGCATCAGTGTCATTTTGGAACCTGTAAAGGGAAGCGAAGATGACTGAAATGCGTAATAGTTTAACAAACAGACCCTCTGGGTTTTCCGGTAGCTGCTGCACTCTACAAGTATGCAGCGTGACACCCATCTGAGACTGATGACGTCACACACACCCGCTGGGTCTATGACGTCACACCGCCCCACAGCCGGGGTATATTGACGTCACACGTCCCCACAGCCGGGGTACAGTCTCTGGCAGCTACCGGCGCCCGATCCGCCCAGCACGGCGCTGCTGCAGTACTGACCGAACGCGCCGCCTTGGGTGGACGTCAGAACCCACGAGACGGGCAGGCTGTAACGGGAGGGGTACAGGGGGTCAGATCAGGGGCGGGGGGGGGGGGGTGTCGGAACCCACGAGACGGGTAGGCTGTAACGGGGGTACGGGGGGTCAGATCAGGGGCGAGGGGGGGGGGGGGGGGGCGGGGTGGGATCGGAACCCAGGAGACGGGCAGGCTGGGAAAGGTTACAGAGGGTCAGGTGGGAAAGGGCACAGCGGTCACCTTAGGAGCGGTCACAGGGAAAACACTTGTTGAAGCGCTGATTTGAGCCTACGTGAGACCAAAATTGATCACATACTGGCAGACCAGCTGGAGGTAAAAGGAAAATCAACGCTACTTTAATTCGAATCAAATTTTTAAACAATTGTAGTATCTTATAAGCTAGCGCTGAAGCGCACCTTTGGCAATGAATGCCGCGGTTTGTTGATCGGTCTGCGGTGCGAAGGGCGGCGCAGTGTCTCATTGAGACAGGGCATCTTCATTGCATTAGTAATCAGTTTTCACAATTTTCGAGTGATGTTGCATGATGTTGATCCAAAATTATTCTAACGTAAAGGTCGTGCCATATCACCAAGGAATTCGATGCCAGCGAAACAAAACAAGGTGACAACTGGCCTGCAGTAGCCAGTAGTAACGCTGTTCGTGGCCTCACCTGATCAGGGGCACCCCGATGTCGAGCGGTTCCCCGCTGTGGATGGCCAGTGCTGCCATCTGGCACAGGTAGTACCGACTGCAGTCAATAGATGTCGCCTCGAGCGCTCCGCCCAGGGCCGCCAGCTGCGGTGACTGACCGGTCACTGGAACAGAGCGGGGAGAGGGGGTTAGAGAGAGAGAGAGAGAGAGGGAGAGAGAGAGAGCGAGAGAGAGAGAGAGAGAGAGAGAGAGAGAGAGAGAGATAGAGAGAGAGAGAGACCTGGCACATAGGACGGAACAAAGAGTTGTCCAACACAGATTATACCACGTTATCAGAGGGCTAACACGATTCGATAGCCGAGTGCCGTAGCCAGCCTCAGCCCAGCCGAGTACGCCTAAAGCACCCCCATCCCACCCGTCGTTTACCCCGCCCGTCGTTTGCTATGGCGGGGACCATTGAAAAAACCAAAACCGAACCAACTCGCGAATCAGGAGAAATACCAACTTTTTACCGAATTTCTAATGTTAAATACATTACCAAAGCTTCACAATACCAACAAAGTACCAAAATCGTTAGGTTTGAACTACGAAATGCCAAGTTGGTATCGGTTTGGTATCGGTATACCAAATAGTTGGTATCCGATTGACATCTCTAGTACGGACTGACCGGGTGTGACGATCTGCCGGTAGTACTTTTTCAGTAGTGTGCCGTCGGTGGTGTTGTCGGGGGCGGCCTCCTCGGCTGTGATCAGCGTCTCCAGAGCTGAGGCCAACCGATCAGTGTCTGAAACGGAGCGGTCATATGTTTTATGGAAACCCCAGTGTCTGAAACATAGGCCGCGGAACGAGGGGGTACCGGGGCACCGTGCCCCCTTTGATTTTGGCATTTTCACATTAGCCATAATATGGGCGTTGCATGGAAAGAATGGGACCAAAAGTCGGCAGTGCCCCCCCCCCCCTTAATTGAAGGTGTTCCGCCGCCACTGGTCTGAAACAGAGCGGTCATATGCTATACGGAATCCCTGGTGTCTGAAAAAGAAAAAGAGCGGAAAAGAAAAAAAGACGAGAAAATGAAAAAGAGCGGTCATACAGGCACGGTTATATGGAAAATTGGAAACCCCAGTGGCGAAACGGGTGTGAAACAGAGCGATAATGTGTGTACGGCTATGTATTATCCCGTGTATGAAACGGTGGAGTTATATGTGGACGGTTATACAGAATCCCCAGGCTATCACTGATGAAAGATTACAGCACACATGAAAGCGCTTGGCTGTTACAACGAATGATGAAAGAGAAATACGGCCGATACTTTTCGCACCGATGCTGCTGCTGATGTAAGAGCTGCTTCATACAGCGCTGCAACTGATGCCGCCTATATTATGTTGTAAGGCGTGGTTCACACTGGAGCACCGTTACAAATGGCGAAACGGGTGCGGCACGCTGTTTGATCAGAGAGAGTTACGTTACAATACGAGATTTCCGATGATTTATGACAATAGCGGGGGCATTCCACGATAGATCGACCAAAGCCGTACACCCTCATATTTTATTTTTTGCTTAAAATTGGTCTAATGGGTTGTGATGGGCGGGGAAGCCAGCTGTGCCAATGTTTTTTTTCTTCGAACAACGGTTTCCGAGATATAGCCTCAGGCAATTCCTGGAGGTCACGCTGCAACCCTATGTTTGGCGGCTTATAACTCAGAAACTATTGGTTTTCTATGGTAAAAACTTTATATGGTTCAACTCGCAATCAACCAACAAACGTTTTGGCTATCTCGGATTTTCGATTTTTGAAAATTTTGATCACGTGACATCTTGACCTTTTTTTCGAAGAGTGACCATGATATTTTCCCAACTGAAAGTCGCAATTATGTCTGATGACGATTAAAGCCTTATTAATATGACATAAAATTGCTTTATCCATTTTCAAACGTTTCGACTTTATACAAAGTCATCTTCACTCTTCAGTGTTAAGATAGACAAGTACACAATTACATGCTGACATAAATATACAAGCAGTCGATGCAGGGTATCAGTCGATGCACATCACACACTTCACAAAAACAAGACATAAAACATCATTCGTGTTGAATATAATTAGATAAATAAAAGAAGTTGACCTTTTCCTCGACATCAAAAATGTAAAAAGCCGAATAATATATTTAAAAAAAACGGTGAGCTTTCGGCCACTGGCCTTTATCAAACCAACGTGATAACAATGTTAAAAGACGATCCTGTGAATAATCTGTCTGCCATTTTTCAAAAACCGAAGATCGTGATATTTTAGGAAAGGCGCTACTCATAAGGGCAAACTATTTGATAGACCGATTGTCTACATAGTGTCCGGTGTACGTAACATACATAATATACAATTGTACACGTAGCTGTCAAACACACATCGTATGGAAGGTATGTACACTAACGCCGATGTACATCACACACATAACAAAATAATATACACATACACATATTAATCGATTGAGTTGAAAAGGCTACACGCTCACAAGGAAGATACACATGATACAGGCGCTTACATGATCGGCCACGACGAAAGATTTGAGTTTATGTGCGGGCGGTTTGCTTTTATAAGTAGGGATTCTGCGATTTTTCTGTCCGGGTGGTCTTTGGAGCGATAAAGGACGCGAACCTGAAGAGGAAGGGATGATTTGTTTAGCGGCGCGCCGGGGTGGTGCTCACGGAAGTGGTCTCCCATCGGGGTCCCTTCGGATGCGCTCAAGGCGTCTCTTAAATGTTCGTTAAATCTTAGTCGAACAGGTCGTTTTGTCTCGCCAATATATGTGCCGTCGTCACCCTTTCCTTCACACAACTTACAATTTAGCCTGTAGACGACGTTCTTCTGTGTACAATCACCTGAAAAATCTGATTTGCACATGTTGCATCGTGGGCCTCCAGGGCACATAGGTTTAGATAGAGATGATCTAACCAGTTTGTTCCGTAGCTTTTGGGGGTTCCTCCATGCTATCCTGACAGCTAAGCCAGATTTCCTAACTTTACTTAGGACTTAACTTTAGTAATATTACCAATCATTCGTGTTGGTTCGGTCGTCTTCCTACAGAACGATACTTAGTTTAAACGCAGATGATCGGTCATTGATGGTCGGTTTCGCTTCAAATATGTGTAAAGATTCTAAAATTCGTAAATTGAAGTTTGAGCGTTTTTGATCTATGATTTTGAAATCGTCTATACTGAAGGGGGTGTCACATGCCAAAGAATGATCCCGTACAGACGATGCTACTGGACTGGATAAGAGTTCGCCCGTTCTGTGTGATCTACCCTTGTGTTGACAAACTCTGCTGTGGAGCCTAACATAGGTAGAACCTATGTAAGATCCTTCACACGAAGGACAACTAAACTTATAAACTACAGCAGATCGACACATTTTAGGGATAGAGTCCTTGAACTTGAACAGAGATCCAATAGTGAAGCTGTTTCTGAGAATGAATCGCGGGCTTAGATATGGGTAGTACTTTTGTAGGAGAGCGCTTATTTCATTTTTGAGCTTAATTGAGCGTTTTCCGAAAAACGGCAAAATGAAAAAGCTTTCGAGTTTTTCAACCTGTGGTTGATTTGTGATAGTAATGAACCTTCTGTTGAGAAACTTGGCAATGGCGGCATCTACCAACGACCTTGGGTAACCGTTATCCAAGAAAAAACCTTTCAGGGATCTTAGCTCTAGATCAAAGAGCTTGTAGCTCGAGCATAAACGGTAGGCGCGATAAATAAATGACTGGATGACTGCCCACTTGATGGAAAATGGGACGAAACTAAAGAAGCTCAATCCTAGTCCGGTAAAGGTAGGCTTGTGGAAAACGGAAGTCTCAATAGAAGAGCCAATACGTTTTATCTTGACATCCAAAAAGGGTAGCGTTTGGTTGGACTCTACTTCTTTGGTGAACTTAATCTTTGGATGCTGCTCGTTAAGGAAGGATGAAAACTTTTCTACATGAGTGACGTGCCGAAAGACCAGAAAACAATCATCAACATATCTCCTATACAGGACAGGACGAAATTCAAAAGGGCAGGTAGTAAGCCAATTCTTCTCATGAAAGCATAAGAAAATGTTGCCAAAGGTAGGGCCAAGTGGTAGGCCCATCCCTACGCCGTCAAGTTGTTGGTACAACTGTCCGTTGAAAAGGAAAAACGAGTTAGTTACTGACAAATCTAACATTGAGCGGAATAGTTTCCGAGGGATGCCACTGACGCTGTCAGTCTGGCTGAAGAGAGAGTTGATTGCTATGTCAACCGTTTCACCTACAGGTATGTTAGTAAACAAACTTTCAATGTCAAAACTGGCCATAACCATATCTTCGGAAAATGTGAAAGTTTTTAAATCAGTGACGAACTCGTAGCTGTTTTTAACGGTAAATTCATTCTCAGTAAGGGGAGCAAGAATTGGAACTAAGAACTTCGCGAGGGCGTAAGTAGCAGTGCCACAAGCTCTGAAAATGGGACGAAGAGGTAAGTTCGGTTTGTGGATCTTAGGTAGACCATATAGGACACCTGGCGAGGACCCGGACACATACAGTTTGTTGTACGTATGTTCGGTAATAGCACATGCTTTTTTCAACTTGCTGAGCAGCCTATTAACTTTATCTTATACACGTAATAACAGTTTGTGAAGTGGCTCATTCACAAGACAAAACTTAGTGCGATCTGACAGTATCTTTGTAATCTTTGCTAGATATTGAGCTTTATCTAAAATCACGACCCCCCTCCCCTTGTCAGGTCTAGTTACCACAATAGAAGAGTCAGATGCAAAATCCTTCAAAGTCTTGACATCATTTTTGGAAAATATTGGTGAAAACACTCTGGACGGACGAAACGTGTTGAAAAACTTGTAACTCACGGTACGAATCTGCTGCTTGACATCTTGAAAATCAAATCTTGAAGGGAGTGACAAAGACGATAACTTCTGGACGAGTGTCTCGAAATGAGGGAAATATCCATGAAAGCTGATCTTCCACACAGGTAGCTTGAATTCTAAGCCAAATGCAAGTAGGGTCTTGAGCCGAGTTGGTATAGGCTTCGATGAAAAGTTGAAAATGACTATCGGGTTGACTCTATCGGATTGATTTTTAAGGGTAGGGTATGGTAGGGTAGGGTAGTGTAAGGGTAGGGTAGGGTAGGGTAGTGTAACGGCGGCCGGTTTTATCGGGCTGGGTCGGGCTCGGCCGACGTGTGTTTGACCCGCGTAGGGTAGGAGCGTTTATGTCTTGTTTTTGTGAAGTGTGTGATGTGCATCGACTGATACCCTGCATCGACTGCTTGTATATTTAAGCCTTATTAAATGTCATTCATATGCGAAAGTAAAAAAGTGGCTATCGCCCTGCGTTGACCTCAGGTCAGGTCATTTTTATGACCTGTCCATTATTACGAGCGGGAGCGACAGCGAGATCTCGAGAATAAAGCAAGATAGCGACAAGCGGTAAACGGTACAGGATTCACACGGATAAGGTCTACAATTTTTACTGAGGTCATTTTCAGGTCAGGTCAAAGATGACGTCACAGGGGTAAAAAGGAAGTCAAAATAGTTTTGGCTGTACCTTTTGATCTAATAAAGAAAGAGACGTGGAACAGGCACCATTGTGTTTGCTTTCGCCTAGCACCAGTTCGTTTTGAATTTCAATACCGATGAACTAAGGTCAGGTCAATTTCTTGGCCACCCCATTATAAGTCAATTGGGGAAAAATCAGCTCCCTTGTTTTTACACTAAAACGCGTCGGAATTGCCTAATATACCATGAGTGACTTCATATACGACTAACTTTGACTACCTTGAGACCTTTTTTGCTCTTGGTCAACTGTGACGTTGCTCTTGGTCAACTGTGACGTTGCTCTTGGGTCATGTGACGTCATTAAAGGTCACCAAATGGTTTTTTGCTAATAACTCCTTACAGGTTTGAGATACAGCCGCGCGGATAGGCTCATTGTGTTCAGCTCGTCAAGGCCCATCGAATGATATATATGATGACCTTAAGGTCACGTGACCTAAGGTCAACTTTTGACCTTGACCTTTCGAGGTCAACATACACATGTTTCGATGCGGATCGAGAGGATCACGATGGTGCTATTAGTTTGTTCCTAGCTGGGATACTTTGAAAGTTATTCGAGAAAAACTTCATATATATGTAGTGCCGCCATTTAGACTTTCTTTTTACCCCTGTGACGTCATCTTTGACCTGACCTGAAAATGACCTGGGTAAAAATTGTAGACCTTATCCATGTGTACAGGTCTCGCGGGTTTTAGCGGTAGGTCGCTCAGCGAGCGGGAGGGCAACCAGTTCCGCCTCTGTATCGGTGACCATTTGCTCCGCCCAGTTACTCGCGAGCGCGTACTACGGCACATAGTAAAGTGGGGAGGGAAGGGTTAGAGTGGCAGCCTGAGTAGAGGCTAAAACCGGTTTCTATCGTCTGGGCCGGCGACACGGCATGCGGTCAGGGGACGGGGAAAGGTCAGAGGTCACTCGCAATGTGCAGTACCGCGTCCCGTCCTCTCTGCGTGCTGACCAGCGCACGACCTCGGCCGTTGGCCAATCGGCATTGAACGGTCAAGGCCGCCCGTAGCCAGCGGGCGGGGTGAGCCGGCAGCGTGCCGATTCATAGATAGTCGTCCAAAGTTTTAGCCGAGGTCGGGAGACGACTGTAATGTTATATCTTGGGAACAGTTCTGTCATTTAACCCGCGTCCCGTTAGGTATAGGGTCTCCCGAGCATCGGTCCCATTGGGGAGGAGCATTTTGCCCCCCCCCCCCATAAGATCTCGAGAACCATGCAAAATAACGACAAGCAGCACACGGTCTTGGATAACCCCAACGAGGAAATACCTTTTGGCTCAATTTCATTGACCTCGGTGAAACCGATGACGTCACAGGTCAGGTCAAATGTCGAATTTTCACCGTTTACAAGCAATTTCAAGAAATGTGTTGTAAAATCGAGTAAAATGCATGTCATTCATCGATAAGGAATCGATGAATGACAATTTTCGATGGGGAATGTTCGTCAAACACATATTTTGCTATTTGGGGTCACTGATACCAGGTCAGGTCACAGAGGTCAGGTCACTGAAGCTCAAAATATGAAGATAACTATTATGTGATGCATGTTTTCTGGTCCATTTTACATGACAAATGCGATTATGTGGGTCAGGCAACCCTTGGGGCCAGTTTAGGTTATGTTCTGGTGAAGGTCAAATAAAGGTCAGGTCAAGTTAGGTCAAATTTCTAATTTGATATTTTTGCATAAAATGGGTATTGATTTGATGCAGCTCGTCACGGGGAGCCAAATGGTCGTCTTTGTTTTGCGCTACGTGGTTTAGAATTGTTAAAAATTGAGTTAAAATATTGACGTCATCAATTTTGAACAGCTTTTTCGCTATAACTAGGTCAAACAAGGAAGCATCGATCTACAATTTGTTTTGTAGATCGAAGACAGCAGGGACTATCATATATATTCCGTTTTTTAACTCGAAAAACTTTTCGTTATTTTATAATAGACCAGTTTTTTTTATTTGGGGGTCAAAAGCTCAACAGTTTGAAAATCCCAGATTGCAGTTCTGAAGCGCCGTCTTTTCTCTACACGACCAGAGGCCTGTTTCACTAACAAATAAAACTTGTAATTACAAAGAAAAAGCTTGAGTTTACAAGAAATAATTACCAACATTTGAGATTTGGATTTCACGAAACCTTTGAACATGAATTTTGAGTTTAAAAATTTCAAACTTTTTTACAAGAAAAAGTTTGCTAGAAAACATGGGAATCGCAAACTTTCTGTTTCACGAAGACCAGAAACTTGAAAGAAACATCGTAATTACGAACCTTAAATTCCAGTGGCCCTGACGTTCGGAATTTTGATACTTTTTGTGCAATAATGCAAAACAGTCATATATTTAGAACAACTATGCTTTGTTGAGTCGTTTCATGCTCTATTTTTACTTAGCACACACCCTAAGAAGCAAAATAATCGGTATTAAAATATCGTCATGTTTTGTCATTCGCGCGCCATAATTGCATTCAACAGTCTTCTGCTGTCAAATGTTTTGTGTGTTATTTTCTTTGAATAATAGGATAATGTGAACGATCATTTATATCTTTTTCCAACAGCATCATTATTTATAATTTAATTAGGCAGCTTTTGACATGAATACTAGACAAAATTTGATAAAAAGAAGCAATATCTTTAACATGCTATAGTTCTTGATTAAAAACAATTTCACTGTTTACAAGTTTATTTGCAAACATTTTCTTATCGGAGGTGCCACTGGCGATGAAGCTTAGTGAAATCGGTTTTTACGTAGTTGGTAAAAATACTTATGAATTGTAAACTACAAACACTTGTAATTACAAGTTTTTAGTGAAACAGGCCTCATATAGAGAGATTTGAAATTGCTTGTTAACTGTAGCTTTTGTGAACGTTTCAAGAATTAATTTTTATTTTTGCTCATTTTTGCTCGAACATGATCTCAGTTCGACCTCAATAACTCCTGACCTAAGGAAACCTAAGACTTGAATTTTTGTGTGAAGGTGTCAAATTGATGCCCGGGAAGCTATTGAAAATTTGGCGGGGCTGCGCGCCGCTGTTTTCTTGCTATTCAGGAAAATACACAGGGGTCTATATTGCCCCCCCCCCCAACGGGGCGAGGGTTAACCGTGACCTGCTGAGGCTGGAGGTCGTTTCACAACAAAGTTTTGTTTTCTGCCGGTCTATATTTCCAAAACTTTGTCACAAAACTGACCAATAAATATGTTGCATGAATGAAATTGCAGTATTATGTAAAAAGTAAACTAGGTGTAAAAGTTTAAGTAACATGTATGCTGATTTTTTGCGTTATTTTTAGAAGAAAACCGATGTAAGCCACTAAAAAAGCAAAACATAACATTGCTAATATAGGAATATGCCATAACTCGCACCCATATCGGCGTTTTCGCAGGCGCTAACGTATGGGCGGGGATGGATCACGCCCCACAGTTGATCGGCTTTTGAACAATCTAGAGCTTCTGGAAAAGAAGGAGCATGTTGCACGTGACGAGAGGAAGCCGATGATGCCCAATTCATAGATCATAGGTCATTCGTTGATCATAGGTCATACGTTGACCTTCCAAGTTCCAAGTCAGTTTAATGACCCAATATTCGGAAGGGTCTAGACCTGCCTAGAAGTTTTTGTGGAGCTTTCGGTATAAGAGAGAGAGAGAGAGAAAGAGAGAGAGAGAGAGAGAGAGAGAGGAGAGAGAGGGAGAGAGAGGAGATTATGCGAAGTGCTCCATGGGATGACCAGAGTTGGCCTCCCGACGAGACAGAGACAGAGACAGAGACAGAGACAGAGACAGAGACAGAGACAGAGACAGAGACAGAGAGAGAGAGAGAGAGAGAGAGAGAGAGAGAGAGAGAGAGAGAGAGAGAGAGAGAGAGAGAGAGAGAGAGAGAGAGAGAGAGAGAGAGAGAGAGAGAGAGAGAGAGAGAGAGAGAGAGAGAGAGAGAGAGAGAGAGAGAGAGAGAGAGAGAGAGAGAGAGAGAGAGAGAGAGAGAGAGAGAGAGAGAGAGAGAGAGAGAGAGAGCGAGAGAGCGAGAGAGAGAGAGATAACATAGCCTTTTTAGAAAACGGTCGGTATAGGTATAAAGCGACAATGCACGGATTTAAAATGAAGGTTAATCCTTCTCACAGCTAGCCTGTTCAGCGTGTTTCCATTTCCATCGCTAGTGACCTCGCCTTTAGGCCATGTGACCGGAAACCGGCAGCTAAACAGCAGATATTCTAGGGGCGCGGTCCGCGGAAACCTTGAAGATTGGCTATGCCACAATGTCATTCCTAGTGGTTTTGAACCTGGCTAGATTGGCTCCATGCGCTCCGCAGATCGGCAAATTTGTAGTTAAGCAGCCCTGTAGGCACCGGCCATGTTCCTCCGCTGGTCCCGGCCAAATAAGACACAAGGGACCAAACACAATTTCACATGTTGGGACGTTTCTAATCTTAAGTCTAGAAACGAACGGTTGATGAGACCTGACACGCCGAATTCTGGCCTATAATGGGCTCTAGAAACTGGTCACAGACCAAAGGTCATTTTGGTCAGGGTCATGAAATTTTCAGGGTAGGTGTAAACTTTGAATTGCAGATGGCCTGAACTTATCCTGATTCCTGACCACATGGGTATTTATTTACTTACGGTGAGAAAAATAACTTACGACACTGAAAGCTTCGCTGCCATCCGCCACTTCTCACGCGAGTTATTCAGGAAAAACCAAGGAGAGGGGTTCATTTTATCACCCCTAATAAGAACTAAGAAGTAGGGTTTCCATTAAAAGAAAACGGTAACATCGATCAATAACATCTCCTGTATATTTCTCAATTTAATATGGCGAGCTCTTTCGGAATGTTGATAAATGCTTATTAGGTAAACAATATTGTAAGTTGACCATGGCACGACATTTCCATTCTATTTTATCCCGTTCGTTCTAGCCCCTCTCTCCTGCCGCCCCCCCCCCCCCCCCCACACACCACCACCACTACCACCACACCGGCTGAGTTGGCTGAGGCGAGCGCCTCCCCTCCCTTCATGCCAAACAACGCCTGGCTGTCGTGACCTCTGGCCTCACCGCCCGAAGGCTCGCCCGCTGTCCAAGGACGCCCTGCGCGGGCCGCAGTGATAGCCTCTGCCGAGTCCCGCCTCTATCCACCGTTCACCACGCGCTGGATTCATTCATGCCTCTGTGTTTCAGCGTCCTACCCGTTGGGTGGCACCACTGTAGTCATAGGCGACTGCAGGGAAGCCGCGGTCAGAATGCCCCAAACGACGAATTTTGAGGTTTTCTTTTAATTTCTCCGAAACTAGCCGGCATACGATCGAACCTTTTTCCATGCTCATGAAAGGGAGCTATACGAATAAATTGGTCACATATTAAAGCCTACCAAGCTGAAGACGAGAAAGATATAGCCGGAAAGGCAAAACCTACGCTTAAAACCCGCGGGACCTGTACCTTGTGCCGTTTACCACTTGTCGCTATCTTGCTTTGTTCTCGAGATCTCGCTGTCGCTCCCGCTCGTAATAATGGGAAGGTCATAAAAATGACCTGACCTGAGGTCAACGCAGGCCGAAAGCCACTTTTTTATTATCGCATATTAATGACAATTGATAAGGCTTTAATCGTCATCAGACAAAATTGCGACTTTCAGTTGGGAAAATATCAAGGTCACTCTCCGAAAAAAAGGTCAAGATGTCACGTGATCAAAATTTTCAAAAATCGAAAATCCGAGATAGCCAAAACGTTTGTTGGTTGATTGCGAGTTGAACCATATAAAGTTTTTACTATAGAAAACAAATAGTTTCTGAGTTATAAGCCGCCAAACAAAGGGTTGCAGCGTGACCTCCAGGAACTGCCCGAGGCTATATCTCGGAAACCGTTGTTCGAAGAAAAAAAAATCCTTGCCACAGCTGGCTTCCCCACCCATCAGAACCCATTAGACCAATTTTAAGCAAAAAATAAAATATGAGGGTGTAAATTTTATTTATTTTTGGTCGATCTATCGTGGAATGCCCCAGCGGTGGGGTATGAAACTGGGTTTTAACTTATTACAGATGTGGTTACGGTTCTAAGGCGGAGAAAGGCACATCCTTCATAGATGGACGGTCTCGTATGTATAGCTTTCCATCCAGCCGCTCTGAGTCTGAACCATCTCTGAACGGACATTTGGGATCGATTCATGGTCTGATGAGGTGTGAGATAGGACGTCATGTGAGCGAAACCGCTGCACTAGTCGCAGACGCCGATTAGATAGTGGCAACTGGCAGAGACTAGTTAGTATTTGTAGCGGAAGCTGATGACGCGTTGACCAATCATACTACCTAGTTTCACCCAGCAGGCCATGACATAGAACGATATGCTGTTGGCGAGCCGTCCGCTAGACCCTAATGGCTGAAATAGGCGCATAAGACTTGACTGATGTAACTATCTTATCCTAGGAGTTCAAAGCTGCATCGGTAGCAGTTAAATGCATTATGGGCTGCTCTTACAGAGTCCGCCACAAAAGTGTTACGGTTTCCATGTGAAACACGACCCACTTGCGAGGTGAAAGGGCATCAAATGAGCCCGGCCCTCGCCATCCAACATGAAACCGCGCTCGAAGCGTTTGCGACATCCTAATGAACTCCAGTCAGTAGTGAAGGCGCTAATGGGAAACTAACGTCCAGATTCGCCACCGTAACGCAGCGCCCAAAATAACCTGAGTGTTGCGCAAAAAAAGAGCGTCAGTAATTAGTGAAACGTATCACTACCCTTCTCTGCCCTCAGAGTGTATTCAGACCGAACCACTGCGCCGCAGAATCCACTAAATCACTCTCTTCTCATTCCTTCACACTTTGTAAACACGACAACACGAGCTGTTGGCTCACCAAAGGGTGACCGAACTTCCACTTTCGTGCGCGCGCGCGCGGGACTTACCTACTCGCCAGTCACTGCGACTTACGAGCGCTGGGGCACGAGTCGCTCCACCAGCGGAACGGAACGACCCGGAACGACCCGGAACGAGCAGCAGAAATATGATGGCCGCGTGCACCGCGAAAGTTTTGCGCGACATGAGCCATGGCGAAGCGGTGCATGCTTGGACGGGAGCTACCTACCTATGTTTCATATCGTCTGCAGTTTTGCTATGTGGTGTTATCTACCGTGTAGGTATTCCTTGTGATGCATGAAATGATAGCAGTGACACGTACAGGCTGAATTGATCGTCATATCATCACACCAAAGATCTGCCATATGATATATCGTTAGGGTGTGAAGACTGGCAGCGATCATTCGAGATAAATTCCTTTTCACTCTAGCTTGCTTTCCCCGCAAAGGACCGGCAAATTCCACTTAAACTCACGAAACACGCTGACTACTCAATCTGACTTTGATTTCCTCGTATTCACTGAGATATCTGTCGGAGCCATGCGATTCTTGCGGCGTTTGCGTTTCCATCCGCGTGCCGCAGCGA